AAATCGAGAAAATGTTTACATTTACAATCATTCAATAAGTTTCTATTCTGTTTAGCTAATTGTTTCTTTATTTGTTCACATTAAACTGTTAATTGTCTGATTGATTGAGCTCAGATGAGTGAAGGTATTGTGACAAATGTACATTAATATTGTTTATTGAAACATCGCAATTCTCGGAAACTTGTAAACACAAATTCAACTTCTTGCTCAATGTTTTCATTTTTTTGGAAATATTCCAACAGACTGTTGTTTTAACTGTTGATTGTTCATTATTGGCTTTAACGATGATACTGAAGCTTGTAATGATCTTGATTATTTGCTTTGTACATGATGATTATATTGATGATGATGAAAATTTTATACAGGCGTGAGAAACTCAGTAAAAAATGATAACCTGTCTATGGCTTTTTGGCCATTATTTTACCTTCACTTGGTCAATGTTTTCCAATGTTTTCAATGTTTCCAATCAATGTTCAATCGATCCCATCATTGATGAAGATGTTGATGGTGATGAACCTCATGATACTCAGCATGTCCTTGTATCAACCTTGATTAGTCGCGTGAGAAAGGATGATATGTAGAAAAAAAGAGGAAGAAAAAGGTTGACTGGATGAAAAAGGTTTCTCATAAATGAAATAGCGTCGTATCAAGATTGAATTACCAATGGTGTAAATAAAAAAAAACGGAACTCTATGGCAATGAAAGTATTACACTTGTTGAAAATTAACATAATAATTGAATTCTCGACAAAGATTTGCTAATTCCTTGCAAACAAATCAGATTAAATTGTGTGTGTTTACATGAATAAAAATTAGGCTGAAAGAAGAGTCATCTGATTGGGAATTATTAAGGTTAATTAAGTCAGCTTTATTTTTATCACCCTTTCGATATTTTCATACAAGTGTACAAATTGTTGTTTTGTTGTCTACTTGCTAAGCATTTTAAAGTGTAACATGAACATTTGTCTCTCTTTCACTCTGACATACATATTGATAATCTTATCCTGGCAGCAATCCCGCTCTGAATTATAATATTGCATTTCTTAATCTTTTAATTTAGCACCAAAAAATTGATTCAAATGACGCTTTTAACCTTTACAATGGATTTCTAATGTTTTTTTCTCGTTTCTCGCCTTTACAGAACTATCTGACACAACGTGATTACAGTCACTACACTGTTTACAAAACTCGTCGCTGCTTCTTGTGGGAACACATGTACTTTCAAATGGATATGTACAAATCACCCTGTCATCCAAGGTAATTCACGCTCAACATTCACATGATACAGATGGTGAACAAAATGTTTGGCTTTGAAATTGTCTGTTGTTATTTACACACACATAAAGAGATATGCCTTCAACTTGCATTCTCATTCAACTATTTCATTTTGTTTCCTCCTTTTCCTGAACCATTTTTTGTTTCATGATCTTAATTGTTTTTCTCACTCTTTCTTCCCCCTCTTCACCTTGATCTAGATGCAATGGATTGATCTTACTAGAAACTTATACCACTGCGAAAGGTGATGTTGTCAGAGATCATTTGCCACCATTTTTGAAAATTGTTAAAGAGGTCACTGGTGATCCAGCTTACTCCATGTTTAATTTATCTCTGAAAGCTGAATGGGATAAACAAAATTTCCATAACACCGGAATGAATGTCACCAAGAACACTATCGATTCCAATGGATTTACCATTCATGGAGCTGACAATTCAATCGTGGAAGGCACTAACAACAACAACAATAACAACAACAGCAACAGCAAAAACAATACTTCTATTAATATCACAAACAGTCGCATTTCCTAGTCTCTTCTTTACCCTTTTTACTGGGTTTCTTTCCTTTCAATTATTTTAACTTCCTCTCAATCATCATCATTTCTTTTTACCCTTTATCTGATTTCTTGAAAATTCACCTTTTCAAGCTATTATAACTCTCTTCCTTTAACATTATTTCTTAAGGTTTCTATCACTAGAAATAGTACTTACTAATCCAAGACGAGTTTTCTCGTTATAATGAGTTATTTTATAAAATCTCAGTTTCCCAATGATAATCTCACTGAAAATCAAGTCTATTTACTCTTACCCTCAGCTTACTTTCAATCCTCTCAATCAGTTGGTTTCGTTCTTTCACGTCCATTATTTTATCCTCTTTTATTAAGACTTATTATCTTGGTTAGTTTTTATCTCATTAATTTTGACCATATTTGTGCTCAAAATTTTACAAACTTACTTAAATTGATCTTCACCTCTTCTTCCCTATCAATGAAAAACAAACAAACATGGGAACAACATATCAATTTAAAAAATATATATATATACAAAAGGATCATTAATTTGTGAATCCTTATATTGTTTCCTTTCCCTGAGTAGACATGATTGTATTATTTTTTTCTCTATCTATATAAAGAGAATGCATCAAATTTTTGTGTAAAAATTGTGTCTAAAAGGATTGTAAAAAATTGAGTACTTATCAAGATCGATATTGATCTTCAATTACGAAAAATAGCCAGAGCTTTCTGGGAATTGTTGTTTATTAATAATTACTGAGAAAATCATGTTGGAGAAACAGGACAAATGAAAAAGGACTATTCAAAGTATCGTGTGAGGAGGAAGCACATGATTATTCAACTTTGAAGTTTTTTTTCGTTCGTCATGTGTTCACAAAAGATTGAAGTGCTCTGTTGCAAAAATAAATCAAACTTGTTGGAGAAATTTCGACTTGCATTTAATATTTATTTTAACTCACAAGATTTGATTGCTTACAGATGTTTCACATTTATGCGAATTTAGTATTGCTTAAAAACTTGGTAATCATGGCTAAAGCAGCTGCTGGTCGGTATTCGGGAACAGTGTGACCTGAACCTCTGACGGTTGCAAAGGCAAAGCCTCGGTAGTGTTTAACAAAACCAGCAACTTGTCCGTTAACCTTCCAAGCTGCATATTTACCAATTTGTTGGAAACCAAGGGAATCTGAAAACCATTCATCACCCAAAAAGTCGCAAACCATATCGGTGTCGCCATTGTATATTAAACCTCGTTTACCAGCATTGATTGATTTAGTAACTTGATCTTTCAAGGTTTTGTATTGGTTGGTATAAAACATTGAGACGACATTTGAACAATCAGTCCATTCAGGTGCTGCTGGAGGAATATTGAGAGCCTTTCGTACATCAGCTCGACCCAAGTAATTGATTAAAATGGTATCATCAACACAGGGAATAGTTTGGCCATTATCTTTTCTAATTTTGCGTCCAAGTCGACTGTTTGACTTGAATGAGTTTGCAATCAAAGACCAACCAACCTTTTGCCGATTGCTCTTGTGTCGATAAGCTTTGTAAATGCTTGCTTCAAATGAACTTGCTGGGGAAGCACAATCTTCGTAGATGGCATACGGATTGATTCCAGCTTCGTTAACAAAATTATTGGCTTCAGATACAGCATCTTGACAGGCAGTAGCATTGTTGTTGACAAAGTCACAATTGGCTGGCGATTCATCTCCGTTCTTACAACATGAGGAAATAATTTTGGACCACATTGATGATTCAATCAGACCGTGATGATAAGCAAATCTAATGACGGAATTACCGAGTAAGGTTTGATCCAGATAACCATTACCAATGGCAAATCCTTTGTAGTTTATTGTTGGCTCATCAAGAAGACGAACTGATAGAGTTGGAATGTAAACACCAGCATAAGATTCACCACTCAAGTAAAAATCGTTATCCTTGTACTGAGGAAATTTATCAAACCATGATTTGATTGCAAGTAAATTGTTGGCCGATGTTTTGTCATCATTATGAATGTAAACTTGGTCATCTGAATATGAGTAGCCAACACCAGCAGGTGACTCCAAGAAGATTATGTTGGCAACTTTGTTCCAAGCGTATGGATTCACAGTCAATTGACTTCCATTGACTCGGAATGGTCCTTGTTCAGTGAAAAATCCTAACAATGAACTGCAACCAGGTCCACCGTTGAGCCAAAGAAGTACTGGATCATTGGCTGGATCATTTTCACTCTCAACAAAAATGTAGTGTAAATGGGTTCCTGGACTTGCATCGAGATAACCAGAAAAGGTACCAAATTTAATTTTCTCACCAAAACCTGGTAAATTGATTACACGATCTGGTTCATAAGCATCACTTGTAATTAAAATGAAAGCTGTTAGGATAAAGCTCAACACCAACATGATTGAAGCACAAAACAGGGTCCTATTGGAATCAATTGATTAGCTTTTACTTTCCAATTAGATGAAAATAATTGTGATATAATTTACCATTGTTAAAATGCCTTTTATACTCTCACCAGAACCTCATTGTTTCATTTTAATCATTGATTCTATCATATTTACATTATCACAAATCACAATTATCAACGCGACATGTGAATTACTGAAACATATTGAATCAGATCAGATATATTGAAATATTGAAATACTAAAATTGTCAAAAATATAATTTAATAAAGTCAAGTTACAAATAGCACAATTGTACTTGTTTAGAGCATGTTGAATTTAATTGCTCTGAATTTGAAATTTGGTTATCAGTGCTAAGTTTTTGTACTAAAAAATTAGTCTTACAATCAATTTATCAGAATTTGTGTTTTATTTGTTATTTGTATCAACTTTTACTTTTTAATTTGAACACTCCTCTGATAATACATGGAAATTTTTACCTCTATTTTGATAAGAGTCACCAGTTTATTGATTTTAACAAAATGGCTTTAAATTGATTCATTTGATACAATTGATGTTGTATCATTTTAGTGTGAATCCAGAAGTAAAACAATGAAAAACTCAATCTACTGAAAGTCAGAGATTAGGAAAAATCATTCATTTGATTGCTGACATATTGAATCAGATTTGACCTTTTCATCGTCAAATTATATTTTCATCTTTCTATCTTTAATTGTCTCATTTGATTCGTTTTGGTTGACCTTAACAACTCATCAGACCAACAATAGCTATTACAGCCGATTGAAATGGGAATGTCCAATGTAAAATTGCAAGTGAAAGGTTTAATATTAATTTAAATATTACCTGTTAATATTGTTATCAAATGGAGCCTTTTTCGTTCAAAGGTCAACCAATTGAGGTCAGTAATTGTTTTCCGGAAGACAAACATTCATTTAACCTTTAATTTAAGGCAATAACAATAATAATTGAGCTACATTTTGGCTGATTTAATACACATTTCAAATGGTCACTTAAGCTTGGAAAACATTTTTGAGACAATCTTTGTTTTCATGTTCAATAACGTTGACCCATTAACCATTTGCTTACGCCAACAACAGTTTAAGATCAAGATTAAGATTCAGATGATTTTGAATCACCTTTTTTCCGGTTTTTACTGTCCAGTTTACTTGGTTGATCCAGCTCAATCCCTTTTCTGTTTGTTTCAAGTCAACAGGAATTGTGTGCTTAACGTATTCAACTTGATTGGGAAGAAAAAGTGAAATTGGGATGAAAAATGTTAACAAGAACAGCAGATTATTACACTTTTCCAGGGTAAACCTTTCCCCCTGAAGGTTAAAGAAGATAAGTTAGGATGGTCTTAAGGTATAATGAAAAAAATATGACCACAAGAACGAATCAAATGAGCCGCGATCTCAGTTTGATCCATTTTGAAATCCATTTGAACTTCAATTTTTTCACTGTTGCTGAGCGCTCGTCGCGTTATAGTCTAAAGTCAGTCTCAACTCTTACATAGGTTCAACAGTTTATTTACATTAAAGCAACAATTTATTAATTGTCAACAGTGTTTTACCGTCAATTGCAGCTAATAAGTGCGAAATCAGTTTGATTTCACTTTTATCAATCATTTGTTTGGTTTCTGTTTATGTGTTCAAGTTTTTGTTAACATTTTTTCCTGGTTGCTCTTCAAGTTGATTGAAAATGCCTGAATCTGATTACATTTGGCCTGTAGAATCGATTGACAATGTTCGACAAGCCTTTTTGGACTTTTACGAGAGTGATGATAAGTGTACATATGATTCGGTTGATGTAGCTGAAGTAATGGTGGACGATTGGTGGATTAAAAGGTTTCTCATTCACGAGCGTGGAAATGAAGATGAAGCACTCAACAAGTTGATCAATTGTTTGAAATGGCGTAAAGAGACGGAGATAAGGTCAATCGAGGATAACCATTTTCCCGAGGAAATCTATCGGATTGGTGCCCTTTTCAATTACGGTAGAGACCAGAATGGTTTACCAACAATTTACATTCGCGTTAAGATGGTTAAAAAGTTGAAAGAAATATCGGATTTAATCAAGTTATATATAGCGTACACTTTTTACAAGGTTGACAAACAATCCCATGGCCAGGGTTGGGGTTTAATTATTGACTTTAACGGAGCTGGTGTACAAAATACTGACCTGGAATTGGCTAGAACCATTGCTTTCTGTATCAAAACGTACTTTCCTTCCTCCCTTGAGTATCTCATTTGTGTTGATTTCCCGTGGATCTTCAAAGCTTTCTGGAATGTCATTAAAAGCTGGATTCCAGCTGACCGTAAATTTTCACTTCTATTCCTATCAAGAAGCCAGTTAAAGGATACAATTGATCCTGATTATTTACCAGCGTTTCTTGGTGGCAATTGTCCAAAGTCACCTACAGAGGCTCCATTGGGTTGTCCCAAGTTTGTTGATTATTGTGTGACCGAGCTTGGTTTATCCCAAAAAGCTGCAGAAAAGGTTTTCGCTCAATATAAACCTTACCTTTGATTACATTTACTACTATATCTAAATCAATTAGCCATTAATTATTCTAACCTCCAAGATTAATGTTCTTCCTATTAATTAATTTCTATGATATATTCTTATTGTAAACTTGGAACATTTATTTGATTGCTGGTTAATCTTGTATCAACCCTTGTATATGACAAAGATTAATCTGGTTTAATGTAATCTGGTCAACAAGATATTTATTTGTATTGTAAATTGGCAAAGGTTGCGTTGAAAATTCACATGCAAATGACAATCAGAGCTAACAACCAAAACCTCATGTTTTATTATAAATAAAAATTTGTTGCTGCTAAGATTTCCAATTTATTCAAACATTGATGACAAGATTCACCGAGTTTGCTTTTCAAAATGACCTAATTGTTGATTACTAATTAATAGTTCAAACAGGTTTTCATCGAAATTTTTATTCATCAATTGGAATCTGTTATAAATGCGCTAAATAATGATCCAAAATTTAATAATATTTAACCAGGAAAAATCAATTTTTCAATTTGCATTCCCTGATGTCAAAGCATATTGTAAGATATCAGATGAATAAAGCAGTTGCCAATAACTCATCAATCAATGCTAATACAATGTTCACCTTTTCAACAATCAACTCTATTAAAAACTTTGCAAATTTATTAATTTTCAGTTAAACCCACTCGTTGCTAGTTCATAGTTCATTCAATCTTGACTCGGATGCGTTTTTTTTGTGAAATTTTTTGATATATTTGAATCTAAACGTTTTGTAAACATATGATTGTCTCGTCTTTTTGATGAAAATACATTCTTAAAAAAGATTAACCTTAATTTACCTCAGCAAAGCATCCTTTTGTTTTCATTATACTTTTCACTTTCAGGCTTAATTCAGATTTTCGCTTTCATCCACTTCAACTTTTACTCTTTCAATCTTAATGCTTGTTGATGCCTATTAATTTTATAATAACAAACAATTGTTAGCTTTTTTGACCCTAATTTTATCCCTTCGTCGATAACAACCACTTTAAACTATTATTTTGGTCTATTCTCGTGAGCATCTACCATTACATGTATTGGTGACTGTATCTCCATAATCAGGACCTGTCTCGAGTCAATTGTTTGTTGTATTGAGAGATAAACCTCAATTCAATTTGCTTAACTACCTGGTTGTTTAATCTTGATGAATAAGCTAAGCACTCAAAACAAAAGAAATCCATCAAATTCAATAGTGGAGGAAAATTTGCCTGGAAAGAAAGAAAAAAATTGATTATTATAAAGAAATATCTCTATTTTACATTATCAATACATTGTACTATTCCCTTTATAATAGTTTTGATTAACCGACAAAAGACGTTTAAATAAGTTGACGATAACAGGTATCTGATGAATGAACTTGTTTGAAATTTATTTGGAGATGTTCAGGTTACTCCAAATCAATTCTTTACAGCTGTTGAAACATAATACAATACGGATGAAAATTGACTTTCTTTAATATCAAAACATTTTCAATTTTGTGTTAATTTAAAAGCAATCATTTTAACTGATTTGCATACAGTTGGAGTGACTGTGATGCATAGCATTAAGGACACCGTGGACTTCAAGAATCACTGAATAAAAATAATCAACATTATCGTGAATAAATACGAATTCATGAGTGTCTTTAATGCTATGCATCACAGTTTATAACAAACACTCAATGACCAGTTTTCAGGGTTTAATTGTTAAACAATGAGTTTACTAGTCTTGGACTAAACTGATTAACCCGGACTGAATCATTGAGTCAATGAGAATTATAATTAGTTTGTTGATTATCTGATGAGATTCCCGGAAAATGAAACAACTAATTATGAGCAAATCAACCTTTCGATAAGATAATGAATCTAGTTGTAAGGTTTGGGTTGACTGAAGATCATTTTTCGATTGCCATTAGGTGCATAAGATATGCACTCTTTTTGCCCATTGGAATTGAATCTGTTAAAGAAAAGAAATATAAAGGAAATAATCAGTTCGTATCACGTCATTTGTTGATTAAATTGTTGGATTACAATCAAATTGAAATTACCTTGAACGGACACAGCTAGTTTCTTCTTCCTCTTTGAAACATTGAACTTGCATTACATTGAAGTAAATATTTCCCAGTGTTGATCCTAAATTGGTGTTGCTTTTTTTCAAGCATCGATGAAACTCTTCATCACATTCACAATGGGATCTGTAATTGAATAAATGAAGAGAACAGAACATGATTAGTTGATGAGTTTAAATATAATCTAATAGTCAATTGTCTTTAGAGTACAATACAATATTTAAAGTCAAAAGCAAGCAATTATTCATAAATCAAGGTGCATGAAAAGTTAAATGAAATAATAAGTATCAACTCTGAATTACCTTGATCTAAATCTGCTCATTATAATCAGATTTATATCAATATTAATGTATCAACAGTAACAACTCGACGAGCATTGAAATAACTTCCCGCCAAAAGAAAAGTAAATTATAATCGAAGTAAAGTTCACTCCAAAATTGAGGTCGTTTCTTGTGACAATTTGAATAGCAACTATTATGGTTAGCGTTTATCAACAAAGCAAATTGTATCGGTGTTTTGATGTTCACTGTTCAATAGTTATTGAAAGATCAAACATGAAAACCCAAGTCATCATTGAGTTAAACTTACAAAGCTTATTTGGGTTACTCAAATAATCTGAATGTCTCTAATATGACCTGATTAAACTGTTTGTGATTAAAGTTAAATATTCACAAGATTAAAAATGTCATGGGTAGGTGAATATATTAGTTTGTTGAGATGAATAGTAATCAACTCAATGATTAATTACTGCAACTGGCATCGAGCAAATTATTCAAAGAGACGAGAGTTAAATAACTGCTGTTTTGAAATGGTTTTCAACGGCCTATCAACGGTGTCCTAATATGGTTGCCCTGTAACCTGTTTGATTTGCTTGTGGTGATAAAATTTGGGTGAATATATTTGCTGATTGTCATAATCAGGTTAATTCAAGCTGGATTTCTTCATGGTTATAACTTTCAGACTTTTTAGATATTAATTAGTACTGATATTAGTGAGAAGTCACTATTTGACGTAAAATGCCTATGATGATTCGTGATTGTTTGATGTTTGATTAGTATTTCATTTCAAATGACATCAACTACTGGAAATAAATTTCATCCAGAAATTAGTGATGTTAAGCGATCGACATTGAAAAACAATGAACATTGTATAACTTCAAGAGCAGGTTAGCTTGATTAATGAAAAATAACTGGAGTTTGACAGTAAATGTATTAAACTTGACAATCAACAATTGAACAGGAAGCACATAATTAATTAATATTAATTAGCCAGTTAGTAATCAGGTGGTAAATCAGTTTACCTTGTATAAAAAGCTAAATTAATTAAACCATAGTCAGTGCGGAAAGCTTTTAAACGATAAGGACAATGATCATGAGCTCGACAACACAGATCGATTTCCCAGATTTGACCAACATCAAAATAATCCTTGGCTATGTCACCAGGTCCACACCATTTGGTACCTTTAAATTAATAGAAAGACAATTAGTAAATGATTTGAAATATTCATTTTCTATTATTTTTCATGATGAGCTCGGCAATTTTTCTGATTTTGCAAGCATTGTTGATTATACAAGTCGATTCTAGAAGCAAATGATTAAAGTAAGGTTCCTCACCTGGAATAATGCCTCTCCAAAAACCATAGATCGAGTCAGTTGAATTACCTCGATTGGCTTCTGATTGATCGTCTGATTGAAGGTTCATTGCTGTAGGTCCATTTTGGATGTTAAACCTTTCTAAATCTTGGCAACGAGAGATTAAATTTTGTAAAAATGAAAATGAAACATTAACAATTGGTACACGTCGTTGTGAGGCTGCATCTTTAGCTTCGTCCAATCTTTTCTCTAGATCAAACAATTCACATCGAAAGATACGATTTTCATCAATATAGTCAATTATGGCTAATGTTTTATCACAACGATAAATGTTTGTCCGGAAAGATGAGGTTAATGGTCTTCCGATGGATGAATAGAGATTAACAGTTTCATTTCTTGAAGATGATGAACTTAGATCTTCCGTTGATGGTGATATTGATACTGAAGATGATGGTGGCTCATTGATTGCAATATTTTTAACCTCTTCTGATCCTAAGGCAACAAATGAAGTCCATGGTGCGGAAGCAGACGGAGAGGGTGAAAGTAACCAATATGAAGAGACATTTGGTTTATCTTGACCAATTAAGGTTGACTTGTATTTCTTTAAACCATAGTTGACATGGTTCTTATGGTGATTAACATTTGATGTGACAAAGGTCGATGACGCAGGTAAACAGGTAATCAGCTTTATTGGTAAAAGTAGTAAAAGTAATTGAAGTTTAAGGTTGGATAAAAGGTTGATCAGTATAAACTTGCTGAAATTACTTTTTTTCACTGCAGATGAATTCATGGTATTTTGAGTCCGTTTTATTAGTCGGATTGATGTAAGGATCACTTCAACGTAAAGTCACAATTTTATACATTCGCAGTGATCGTTATTAATTCACATCATTAACATTAGGGGGAGTAAATCAAATAATAAATAAACACAAATAATAACAATATTAATATTATACTGTAGCAAAATGATTATGTGACTAAACAAAGAGAGATAACAAATGGTTAAGGGACATTTCAGGTTGATACACTTTGATGTTGGTATTGGTGAAAATTATGAACTCAGGTGATAGCAAAACGGTCTTTTTCTGGAAAGCTTATCCATTATGGAACAATATTTTAAAAGAAACAGTAAAATATAGTTAAATACAATCAAAAAAGAGAGTGAAGAAGACAGATTTAAACTGAAAAAATATGCCAAATGACAACTACGATGACGATGATGATTAAAAGAAGAGAAAGATGATGAGAAACCCGTTATAGTGAGAGAAAGACACCAAAACAAGTGTATCAAGCACTACAAAATGGTTGTATTACCTTATGATATGAAGTTGATCTGGTGATTGCTTCTCCCGCTTGATCCTTTTAGGTGACTCAAATATTGAACTGGTAACATTTTGGTAAGCTTAAGACAAGATAAGAAATGAGAGAGAAAAAGAAAGACTGTGAAGAAGAAAATTTTTAACCACTCTAATGATTTTAGCTTTTATTTTTGCTCTGCTTTGATAGGAATCAGTTTTTTTAAATTTAAACAATAAAACGGTGAACAAAGACACTCAAGTAAATACGAGACAAAAGATAAGGAGGAGGAAAAGGAATGGAAGGAGGATCATGATTATGGTGATTTTAATGGCAATTTTGACAGATACGTTGACGGTTATGTTAACAGTGATCTCGAGGTTGGTGGTTAACAAAATGAAGGTCAAAAAGCCTAATACAGAAGGGACAGAAAAGCAAAGCTATTAAGAAATTAGGAAATGAGAAAATTTGATTTACGAACCATTTCAACCCAGAGATTAATCGAAATCAGTTGCCAGACAAATTCAGTTCCAACAATTGACTGACAATGACTAATTAACGACTGTCATTGATTGCATCTGTAATTAATCCCCTTCCCTTATAACCGTTTCCGTGGTGTAGTGGTTATCACGTTTGCTTTACACGCAAAAGGTCCCCGGTTCGAGCCCGGGCGGAAACAGTTCTTTTTTGATTTCTTGTGTCAGATTATTCAACATTTGTAGTTGATGTTAAGTAATCATTGGGTTACATTTTGTCCCGAATCAAAAGGGGTTTTATCGATAAGGGCGAGAACAATTAAGAGGTGATTATCGCAAGTCGGTGGGGAAACATCTCATTTTGGTATATCATTGAAACAAAATGCATGTTACTTCACATTCTTTTCATTTTCCTATGTCTAAATCATCTGATTGTCTTATTTATCACCCTTTTGTAATCATTTTTTTTTTTGATGTTTTGATAAAATTATCTCAAGTTTATTGTATTTATTGTGTTTCCTTGACTCTGAATTTGTTTGTTCTTACTTTTATCACCTATTGAAATGGAGTTTGCTCCAAGTTTACATGATTTTACTGTTCCATTTGGTTACTTGGTTTATTATGATTTTTTAAAATTTAGTCCTCCTTGCGATTATAAACTAGAAAATTGTGATTCATCGTTTTAAAAAATTAGTGAAAATTCATGATTAATCTGATCGTTTCTTGACTTTTCGAGTTTCTTTGATATCTTACTAACGTCAACATTAAGACAGGAGAATCATAAATAACAACAATGATACGAGCAAAACCAGAAGACATTTTGGAAGGTTTCAAAATGTAAATAATGAATTTATTTGGTTGTATTTATTTTTATTTTTTGATTTGTTATTAATTATATTTGTTTTACCTATCACTGCATAATCATGCTTTTCATTAGAAATTGGATGAATCTCCGAGATGCAAGAAACGGGGAAATATTGTGGGAATCGAAGGAAGATCTTTCTAAGCCCAATCGTGAACATGAAGGTGAGTTATTTTTCTGGTTTCAAATTGCCAGATTTTGAGAGATGCCAGTATTCCGCTTATTAATCTCAATTTATCTGCCATTTAACTTGCTTTACAATTGGTGACAGCTAAAGTACCTAGAGATATACTAAAATGTCGAGCTGTTTCAAGGGAAATTAATTTCTCTTCAGTGCAGCCCATGGAGAAGCTCAGATTAGAACAAAAAGTGTTATTTCAAGGAAAATGTTTAGAAGGTAAATAACATAATTGTCTTCACTTTTAATGTAAAATGTAATTGATTGGCCACAATTTACAATTTGCTTGTGTCATCTTTTACCCTGTATGACGGACATTTGTTGTACTTTGATTGAAATGTCGGTTTTTTCAAAATAGAATGGTATTTCGTATTTGGATACGTTATTCCTAATTCAACAAATACTTGGCAATCATTGATCGAAGCTGCACCAGAATCACAAATGATGCCAGCTGATGTGTTAAAGTAATACGATTATGTTTTATACATTTTGTTTTCAATATTGACTCAATTATGATAGCAAAAATATTCATTTTTCTATTTCTTTTCTTTCAGTGGCAATCTGTTGATTGAAACCAAGTTTTACGATGATGATCTTTTATTGAGCACGTCGCGAGTTCGTTTATTTTACATATGATCACCATTCATCTTCTGTCAGCTACTTAACTCATTTCCTTATCATTCACGAGATGCCACTCTATTAATACAGAGATCTGTAACTCAGAACGCCATTTTGAGCTTGCAGTTGAACGAACAATTTGATCAAGCTTACCATTCGGATTAACTATCCTAATATGTATTGTCATTTTATTTTTCATTTTTTTACTTTTTATCATCTGATTATTATCGTTGCAACTGCACAACTTACAATATAAGTCGAATCAACTCTACATTTACAACATCGCATTTAAATTCACGAATTATTCAATCATACTGAAAAGCGTCGACAACATTCACAAATGAATAATTTTTTCGCAACTTCATACAGTCATCACTTCTTGAGAAGTCGGACATGGATTTTCATCTCATTTCTGCAGAATTTTTCTCATTTTTCAACATTCCGTCCAATCTATTAACAAAAAAATCAGCTTACAAAAATAACTTCACGAAGGTTACTTTCTAATCTTACGAAATTTGACGTTTTGATTATAATAAAAAGTGAATTTTGTTTGATTTTCTTTGGCTTAATCTTTTTTGATTAATATTGTTATTATTTTTCTTTTATTATGCACTCAGTAAAACCTCTTTTAATACACATTTCTCGAAAAAAATACCGATTAAACATTAAATCTCGAAAGCTAAGCTTGGAGTAAATTAATGAAAATCAATGGGCAAAATAAAGCGAAAAATGGTAATCTTACAAATGTACACTATGAGAAGAAATACTTCCTTGTGCATTGATTTTTGTTGACACTTGGTTCCATTGAATAAACAAAGAATGATAAAATTAAATATACACATTTGTTGGTTGGCTTATTATCTACTAGCAACTGAATTAGGCGCTGTTTCGGATGGCTCTTCCGCTTTTGTTATGATTAATGGACACTGTAGACATTTTGATTCGTTTAGTCCATAGTTGATACAATTAGGCCCAACACATTCACAGCAGCCATCGTGGAACCACCGGTATGAGACTGCACCCATTGAGCGACAAGAAGATTTACATTTGTTCCATGACATACATTGAGACATATAAGCGACAGTACAGTTGACCTAAAGAATTAAATACTAGGTGAATATAGCAGTTTCGAGCAAAGTACAAGATAATATCTGAATAAACATTTACCTGAATATCTTCTTCTGTATCCTGACCGTCAGTTTTCATTGTGACTTTAGTTCCCGGTTGAGGATTGACTTCTTTTGTTTCTGATCCTCCTGGAACAATAAGACTCATTTGTATAGGGAAAGTAAAGGTGGACCAGCGCTCTAAGGCATCTTTCTCCTCAGTTAAGGCAATGAAAAGCTCAGCTGATTGAGAGTCGAGCTCCTCGACATGACTTTTGGATCTCAACAAGTCATCAGTTGAATTATTGGATGGACACATTTCTGTTTCAAAGAGAAAAATAAATAATGAAATAGATTTGTATATGAGGAAATGTTTAATGTATAGGTTGATAACAAAAAAGATCTTACCGAGGCAGGTACAACATTCTGAATAAAGATAATCTAAACATATGAAACAATCTCTGGCACAAGTGACATTATTTGATGTATCACATTTACACGATTGGGTTAACATACATTTACTAACAATTGAGGCACAAACATTTTCATTACAAGTTTCACTGAGCAGAGAAACTTGAAACACTTGAAAGGCTATCAAAGCAACAATTAAAGTTGCCCACATGATAATTAAAAAAACACTCAATAAAGAAAGCTAAATTTTTTTCGTTCTCATGTCTTGTTTTGCTACTTTTTTACCTATGACAATATCGGATAAAAAATATCAGATCAGATATCAGATCCAGACTGATCTTATCCAAAGGCTCAAGGAGACCAACAGTCTGAGACTGCGAACCTGAAAATCTTGAAATCTTTTTGCTGATAATTTGTTTTTGCGAGTTAATCTTGAAAAATTGACCTTTTGTGAAATTTTCGATAATTTGTATTCAACTTGAGCTTCAACTAATCCCTGCTTTTGGCTATCAATGGTAACTCTACTGATTAAAACCATTAAATAAGAGTTTTTAATGGTGTTTGGCTTAGTTAGTCCACGATTAAGTAACTTGAACAATTGTTGATGATTTATATTGATTTCAATCTGATTTTACTGGAAATATGAAGCGAAATGATTGAAAAATTCAAGAGAAATCGACTCAAAAATGAATTTAAATTCGTGAACTAAAATGTAATTTTTAGCAGCAACAGCCAAATGACATAGAATGAGCTGAAGCTTAAAATGCAATTGGAGGAAAGGTTCGCAAATCTGAATTAACTGATAGTCTACGGTGAGTAATTTTGTACCCTTTGGTAATGAGTTTTATTGGTTTCAATTTGACTTTAATTTTAAATATGAAATGAAACAATTAATGAATATCTGTTTCAAGAGCAATTGATTCAATAAAGAGTTTAAATCTTTGTAAATCAATTTTCAGCAGCAGCAACAACAGCAAGACTTCTTCTTCTTCTTCTTTTTCTTCTTCTTCTTGGACTTTTTCTTTGACTTTTTACTTGACTTTTTTGATGACTTTTTCTTTGACTTCTTTTTAGATTTCTTTGTGGACGTCTGTGGGCAATTAGAGAACAATGAAATAATTAGAATTAGTCAAAAGGATAAATCAAATTCCAGCCTTGTCATCTTACTTTTGTACACGATCCTGTGGACTTGAATCGTGTCTTGACTAAAAAGGTTCCTGGATCAGTTGAAGGGACAACATCGAGTCTTGATAAACCAGCTAAATCTAGAATCTCATCTAAACTTTTCACTTCAAATCCAGTTTCTTTTGACCCTGCAGTTGAATTTGAAGATGGATTGATGGTTTGATTAAAGCTAGCCAAAGGAGACTCAATCTGACTTTCATTTGGACTTGAGGTAGTCACATCAAGGGTACTTCCAACAGCTGGTTTGGATTCGGGCGACTTATTTAAATCTTGGACTCGATTCCGCTAATCAAAGGTGATAAATGATAAAAAGGACGATCAGCGTTTAATTAGTTACAAACCTCGCACCTATGAATTAGACACTTACTTGAACATAGTTGGGGACGAATGATAATTCACTTTTCGGAGGTTTCACATTCCATTGGTTTTTTGAATTGATTGAGGCTGATTTGGTCGATGAAGACGATGATGAAGACACTGATGAAGAGGACGATGATGAGGAAGAGGCAACTAAAGCTTCATTCTGTTTGGTCCCATCAGTTGTGTGTCCAACAATCAAATCAAAAAAGAAACCAACACCAAATAAGATTAACCAAAATCTCATTTTGTGACTTGGCTCTTTCAAAGGACAGCTTTCTTATTCTAGCTTTACGATAAAATACTCATCGGCATTTTAATAGATTTAACATGAAGCCTTGATTACAAATGAATGAACTAGTTTTAATCTACAACATTAAAATATACCAATGAAATACCTGAAAATCTGGTAATGATTAATGATGCCATTGATTAATAAACCTTCTAGATGCTTATTTATCATTTTGCAGCATTTAATTTTATATTGTTCCAAAATCATTTGCCTTTAATTAATAGCTTCAATCAATCAATTTTATTTACCAATTGTGAATATTTACTGTGCATCCAATGTTTATCCATATTATCATCTGCGTCATCGTTTTTGTCGATTGATTTGAGTTACAATCATTCATTGACCACAATCTGTTCATGATGCTTACAATAAATAATCATTTGAATAATTTTTTGGCATTTCTGAGCTTCTTAAATTGTTATACTCTGCTTGTGTTAATAAACTGCAAAATGATCTCATTGTATCAACATTGACACAATTGTACAATAAATGCTTGAATTTTTGTCAGCCAAGAGTTGGGTTTTATTATTGTTAAGGTCCAATTGGGAAGTAATATAACCAGCTTCCTTGATTAGTATTTAGATCTGTGATAAATATAGTATAATATAAAGCATGAAGTGATATCATTTATTAACTTGAATGTCTAAGCATTTCCTTATTTCACTTGATATTCTAGTTCCGAGTTGAGTCAGTGTAAACTTCAAAAACGCTCAGAAAATCTTCTGTTTGTTGAGTAAATAAAGCCAATTGAAATTGAGTAAGTAGGAATGGTTATGAGACATTCAACTTAACAATTACTTCTGTTTATTATAATATAATCACAGTGGATTTTACCTCTTCCTAAAGAAATCACAGAAAGATTTTCGCATTCACCAAATATTGCATTTTAATTTAAATATACAGAAAAAGACAGAACAAAGATACAGAAAATTACAATTTTAGCGTTGGAATGATGATGAAAAGTATTGTGATTAGTCGATCAATTTTCAGCTTGAATCCCTTGAATAATATGGGCACGATTCTGGATAGCCGTTAACGTCCGAAAAGCATCACTAGAAAAATTGAGATACAAATAATTACAACCGAGTGATAAACAAATGACAATTTAAAACACTTTCAGCTGATTTTTCTTGAGTTTTTCACTGCTCTTCTGTTTTTTTGTAATACTAATCAGATGCTTCAAAATATTGTTTGAAACACTCCAAGTCTGGGGTTCTTTACAGTTGAAAATGATATTATTAATGTTTGACTCGTTACTTACATGGAGCAAGGTAATCATAACCACCCATCATTGGATAACCATAGCCATAACCATAATGGTGTCCATAACCCACTGAAAAATAATAATGAATTGAAATGGTTAGCTTTGTCCCAAATGATCTTAAAATGGTGAATAAATAAACTTACTGTCATAGTAATGATGATGTCGCGACTTTAATTTATTATCTTTAAGCGTGGATTCAGTAGTTTGAACAGCGAGCTCCTCTTGTCCAGTTTCAGGTGGATTTACATCAGGTTTGGTCGTTCTGATGGGCTCACTGTTAACGATGAAAGAACTGAGAACACAAAAAGCAACAGTTAGATAAACCATCTGAGATTGTATGAGGGCCATGATGAACAGATCTAAAAAACTCGACAACTCGTGAGTAATGGAGCCTCAAGAATACCTTATTTATACCTTTTCTCGCCTATCAAATCATTACATTGGTTATTTTGATAAGTCATGAAAGGGCGAAATAGGCTGATTCTGTTGATTTTTTGCTTCAGTGGTTTACTGTGGCACTGAATCAAGGTAAGATACACTTGTCAATTGAAACTTCAGTTTCAATTGTTGAAAAGCTGACTCTGAAATATTTGAATCAAGTTATTAAATTGAAATAATCTTAAAAACAATAGACTTAAATATTATAAAACAATATAAAAATTTGAAACAATAGCCGGCGATGGTTGAAATGAAAAACTTCATATTGCTGAAGTAGCGTAATTACACAATTGGTGGGTTAATTTGATTTGTAAAATGTAACTGTGATATAATTCATAGATCAAGGTTTCTGTTTAAATCATTTTGAACATGGACATAAATGTACAAACAAATACAATTAAATATACACATTGTTGTTGGTCTTGTTAATAGCAAACTAAGAAAATACTAAAAATGGTAAATGTAAACAATTAATATTGATACAGAGATATTTCGATTACTGGTGTGAACCATGAAAATTTTCGAAGAAACTAAACCATAATTTGATTTAGTAAAAGTATTAGAGCTCTGACGATAAAATGAGCTAAATTTACCGCAAGATAGACGGTATAATTGATTGCAACGTCCAGGCAAATCTTACAATTGAATCTTGTTAGTTGATGGAGTTTAAGTTGAAAAGTTATAGCAAATAATTTATTAAACATTCGGTTATTAAGGCGAAGAGTTTCTCTTTACGTTTTGATTTCAGGACTTTGATTTCTGTCCGGCATTCAGTGCTTAAACAACACGATCTGTAATACTCTTTGATTAAAAACATACAATTGTTAATAAAAAGGCACAAACAACACTTTTTTCACATTTATGCACAGATTGACACAAACACTGTGAAACAAATGGCCAAAAACGGGTAAAAATTAATTTCTTGCAAATTATGTCTCTGTAGGTTTGTAGAGACATGAAAACTGAAGCTATTGGTACTATTAAAAAGTTTCTCTGATCGATAGCACACGAGAAAATCGAGTTGAAAATTTAAACTTCGATCGCTTTTTGTACGATAATGGAAGGAGATATTTTCATGAAACTTCATTTCGCTGATGTTAATTTCAATTATCAACCAGAAAAACCACTTATATCGAGAAATAAAATTTCCTGTTCGAAATAAAATCGATAAGTTCGATTTTCATTTAAAGCGACTTATTTCTGTGACCGTTAAATTTAGAGACCTCAAACTTATTTTCCGTGGATAAAAATTGATGGTTCACACTATGGATTAAATAATTTTCACGATTTAGCGATAGTTATCTTGATTTTGGCGATTAACCCAAAAACTTTGAAGCTGAATTTCTCAAGAATGGTAGAACCCAAGATTATCATTCTTTGGCCAAACATTAGATTTTGTTATGATCTATGATGTGTTTTAATTTCAGATGATTGCAGAAACTACAAAGAAAGTTATTACATTTATTAATAAGGTTACCAGATTTGATACCAGATTTTCAAAGATAACTGGTTACTTATCACGTGTCAAAAGAATATTCAGCATTAAATGAATCAGTTCAGATTTCTCCGGTTTCTAATCACATAATATTATAGTCCGTCACAAGATCTAATGTTTGACCAAAGAATTGTTATTGTGGACGCTATCATTCTCGAAATATTTAGCCTCAAAGTTTTTGGGTTAATGGCCAATATCAAGAGAACTATCGCTAAATCGAAAAAAGTATTGAGTCCATGGTGTGAATCAGCAATTTTTATCCACGGAAAATAAGTTTCAGTTCTCTAAATTTTACGGTCACAGAAATAAGTCGGTTTAATGAAAATCGAACTAATCGATTTTATTTCGAACAGGAAATTTTATTTCTCGATATAATTGCATTTTCTGGTTGATAATTGAAATTCACATCTGCAAAATGATTTTTATGAAAAGATCTGCTTCCATTATTATACAAAAAGTGTTCGAAGTTTTAATTTTCAACTCGATTTTCTCGTAAACTATCGGCTATAGAAACTTTTTAACTATATCAATGGACTCAGTTTCCATGTCTCTACAAACCTACAGAGACATAATTTGCAAGAAATTAATTTTTACCCGTTTTTGGCCATTTGTTTCACAGCATTTGTGTCAATCTGTGCATAAATGTGAAAAAAGTGTTGTTTGTGCTTTTATGTAAAAACCTTCAAAGTTTCATAGTAATATCGTACATTGTATCTCTTATTAACTAATAATCAATAATTGGCTTTTTTTTAAATTGAGTTTATCGGTTTAAGGTTACTTTCTTGTGAAACAATTTACATTTCCGGAAATGTTTCACTTGACCTTTACATTTGGCTATTTCATTGCATTTACATTAATCAATGATGACGATCTTTGTTGACGTTTTTGACTTGTTCAATTACGTTGACCCATCGAATCTTGAATGAAACTTACAAAGCAGATGTTTTCCAGGAAGATACATTTTATTTTATTTTCCGGTTCTACTTGTTTAAATTTTTGAGTCAGTTTTTTTGGTCACCTTAATTGTTAATATTAAGCTTAATGGAAAGTGAAATGAGGACCAACCAACCAACATCACTCATTATTTGCTGCTGAGCTGTTAACCTTTATCCTGAAGGCTCGAGAGGATAGTGAGGCTGGACGGAAGAAAAGGATGATTGCAAAAATTCACTATTCACTCAGTTATTTCGATTCAAGTTTCATCATAAAGTGTTACAATTTCATTGTTAGACCTGAATCAAAACTTATACCAGAAACATCGGCCGTTTGTTTGATATTTCCCTGTAAACAGTTATTTAAAGAACCAGCTAAACGGTATCATTCCTTGCATCAATTTTATCTTGAGTTGTATCTTTTGCCTGTTAATTGTGAGAAATATCTTCTTCCCTATTTTGAGGAGTTTGCTTGACCATCATAACTCAAGATGCCTGAATGTGATTACATATGGCCATTGGAAATGATTGACAGTGTCCGTCGACTGTGCATTGATCACTATGAGAGTGATGATAAATCTTTATATGACCCAACTGATATTGATGAAATGATTGTTGATAATTGGTGGATCAAGCGATTTATTATCCATACAGGAGGAAATGAAGCTGAAGCGCTTCAGATGCTCATCAAATGTCTCAAGTGGCGTAAGGAGATTGGGTTACAATCAATTAGCGATAATCATTTTCCCGAGGAAATCTACAGAATCGGTGGACTTTTCAATTATGTGAAGGATAAAAATGGTATTCCAACTGTTTACATCAGATTAAAGTTGGTTAAAAGGTTGAAAGAAGTATCGGATTTGATCAAGTTATTCATCATTTATAATTTTTACAAGATAGACAAAGAATCTCATGGCCAGGGTTGGGGATTGATCATTGATTTTCATGGTGCTGGATTACAAAATTGTGATTTAGATTTGGCAAAAACAATTGTTTTCTCTCTCAAAACTTACTTTCCTGCTTCCATTGAATATGTGATTTGTGCTGATTTCCCTTGGATTTTCAAAGCTTTTTGGAGTTTCATCAAAGGCTGGATTCCTGCCGATCGTAAATTTACAATTTGCTTTACACCAAGAAGTCAGTTAAATGAGACGATTGGTTCAGACTTTTTACCTCAAGCTCTCGGTGGCAATTGTTTGAAATCAACTACTGAAGTTCCACCTGGTTGTCCAAAATTTGTGGATTATTGTGTTAAAAATCTTGGTTTAACTGAAAAGGTTGCAGAGAAAGTATTTTCCCAATACAAGCCTTTATTGGCATAATTATTTTGACCGTAAGTTGGTCATTTGGAATCCTAAAGTTTACTGATTTAGAGCTTTTGATTTAACTGGAATTAAGTTAAGGACGTTCCATCAGCTCATGTACAATTAAGGAATAAGGACAGGAGAAAATGAAAAGTTTACTGATTCCAGGAATGATTCAATATACTAACAGATTGAGTTTAAATGCAGGAAAAGCGAATCAACTGCACTAACAGGAACTTTAGGAAAGATAATTAAATTTCGTGACTCAAAAATCATCATGGTAAGTTTGAAATTTTATTATGTTTTTAAAGAAAATTTAATACACATTTCAATTATTTAATCTAATTTAAATCATGATCTCAATGAAAATGAGTAGAAATGACGAGCAATATTCATTGTCATTGTCACCAGTAGAATCGATGAATTCAGTAATTGAAAAAGATTCAGTTAGGTTTACTGAAGAGTCCGAATACGTTAATCATCTCTGTAATTTTATATCCATTTGTTTATTTGCACCCAATTTCCAGAATCGATTTTACATTGAATTATCATTCTTTGGTTATTGAACACAAGTGACCAATTAGTTATTTCTCTCAATTTTGATGCGAATTTTGGATTAGATATGAAATCTTTTCGTTATAATTAATATTTTTCGTTGAAAATTTGATATCAATTCGAGTTTTTGGCGAAATTTTTATCTGAAATTATATTTATGAATATTAAACTTAATAATTTCTATTTTTTTATTTCTTCTAACAGTATCGTTTCAATGCTTTCAAGCTGCACGGAAAAGAAAAGGCCTCCAGATAACTCTCTTTATGTGAAAACTTGCAGCAAAAATCCTAAGAAAACAAAATGGTGGTACCATGATGAGAAAGTTTAGTCTCATGGAATTCATCAAATTTATTATTGAACGGATAAATTGACACTCCAATCATTTTATTGCAACACTTGAATTCAACATTGAATTATAACGTATTCATTCAATTGTTAAGAATCAATGAAAGGATTGAGATCAAGTAAATACACTAAAAAGATACCAAATATTTGAGCTCATTGGTTTGAAAAAACACGGTAAATAAAATCCATCCACGTAACTGACACATCTCCGATTTTCAATCATCGTCAACACATTAGGAATAATGAGAAACGAGAAAAAGATGACAAACTTTGAAAATGGTTCATCATCGTCGATACCATCATAAACCATCAATTTACTCACCAACTATATCTTGTAAAAGAAATAAAAATAATCCTGTAATAACCCTTAATAATAATTACTATGATAATAATTAGTAAAATAACAATAATAAAAGAAGCAAAAATAATATTATTAATATGATGAACACAACTTATTTTGACATAAATTCATTAGTAACCGAGATAGCAGTGGAAACGGTTGACATGTTTGTCTTATTCATGAACTATCTCTCAAAAAAGGCTAGGATAAGATTTTGCCAATAAATTGATTTAATTTATATCTAACAATCGAATCCATTCCCAATTGATTATTCGATGAGTTGTGAGATGATGAAGTTGATGCTTTTAATTCCTTTCATGAATTTGATCATAAAGACTTCCTTTGGAGATCTGGATAATTAGAGAAAAATGAAACAATTAAAATTAGCTAAATGGTGAATCCAATTCTAGCTTTTCATTTTACTCCTGTTTCTGGGAACAACCTGAATCGTATCTTGACTGAGAAGGTTGAAGAGACTTCATCAAGTCAAGTCATCGAAATAGCAACCAATAAAGTTAATCGAATCAAAGAAGTTACCAATCGCTCTTTATTAACAACCGTATCCACATGCTTCATGTCATTTTTTAAGTAATTATCGATTTGATATTACTTTGGTCAAAGCTTTCAAATCATCATTAATATCTCTTTCATCCAAGAGATAATTTAGCTGAGTCGGTAAGCCACGCTTTCGTTTTTCAGGAACTGGCACAGGATCATTTTGTCTTCTTCTTAATTTTCGTGTGATTGAAGTTTTAGTTTCAACTGAGTCTGAATTCAATTCTAAAGAAAATCTTTCGGATTCGGCAATTTTCTTCTTCTCCTCCAAATCAGCAATTAAACTTTTCTTAAGTTCAATTTTACGTTCTTCAAAATCTCTTAGAGCTGCCTGTTGCTCACTGATAAATTCCTTCTCTATCCTTTCAGTCTAGAAAAAAAAATAAGAACAAAATTAGTACTATAAACTTTGTATCTGTACAGTATTAAAATAATGAATTATTATTATTACCTCGTAAGCCAAATATGCCTCATTTAAAATTAATCGATCCTGACATTCTTTTTCAAAAGTTTCAATTCTTCTAACGTAATCAGGATGTATTCCTTCATCTAATTGTCTCAGCTGTTCTTCGAGATTGGATAATTTATCTTTGTACATCCTATTGAGGATATCCGACCTACAATAGAATAAAAATTAAAGGCAAAGGTTAGTTTATCTATAAAAAACAAGAAAAATTACTTTATAGAAGAGGTCAACTTACTGTCCCTTGATTTCAAGATAATCATCGTCATATCTTTCCATAACAACTTCAGTTTCTGAAGCATCATCAGTTTCGGATGTATAGTCAGTATCGGACATAATGAAGAGATAAAATAAATATTAATAGTAAAAAATAATATCACAAGATTAAATGAATCACTAAGTTGGTGTGGTCAGCAAGTGGCCAAAATTTAAATTGATGTTTTTGAAAAAACGGTTGACTCAGCTGATAAGAAAGGAATGCGCACGAGATTTCTGGTTGTAATTCACCCAAAGAGTAACTCTTTGTACTCTGGTTAAATCCCTCCTAGTTACAGGTAACCGGATATTTGCAGCGCCAAAACTTGAAATTTTCAAAATTCAATGTTTTATCCTTTACCAGCGCTATCTACTGATTGAACAGAGAAATGTCTAGTAGTTTACTAAATGGGGGAGGAACTTTACTAAACGTGAAGCTGTTTTTTTGCATTTCTGTTAAATTTTGGACTTGAATTTTAATCTACCTGTGAATTGGTCAGTTTTATTTCAACTGTTCGTTACATTTTGAGGTAAGTCATTCAATGTCATTTGATTTGCTCTACAGTTCAGTCATTGCTGATTAATCTAAATACTATTTTATTTTACCATATTCTTTTTTTTGTTTTTCTCATGTTGTTCAGTTGTGTTTCCTTTGCTTATCTTGTCGATTGTTGACTGTCTTTTTGGTGTGCCTTTCTTGTAATTCTCGTGGAAGAGCTGTTTTAAAAAGTTGACTTTTTTGGAAAAAATCAGCATTTGAATCTTACATTACCATTAGTATTCTCTATATCGTAGTGAATTTTTAACCATGGAAATCAATGATACAAATGTTCAAGTGCTGGTAGGGTTCTTACAGCAAACTATGTCGCCTGATGCAAATATAAGAAGGCCAGCTGAAAAATATTTGGAATCTATCGAGTCTAATGCCAACTATCCAATTTTGCTGTTAACATTGATTGACAAAAAAGAGATTGATCTTGTTACTCGTGTTGCGGGTGCAATTACTTTCAAAAATTTTGTCAAACGTAATTGGCGTTGTGATGACGACAGTGTGGATAAAATCTCAGAAAATGATCGTAAAATGGTTAGATCATTGATCATAGGCTTAATGTTAAAAAGTGAGGAACTTGTTCAAAAACAACTATCTGAAGCTGTCAGCATAATTGGACGAGAAGATTTTCCGGCTAAATGGCCCAATCTTCTCGATGAAATGATTTCTCGTATGCAAAGCTGTGGTGGTGATTTCAGCATCATCAACGGTATTCTCCAAACGGCCCATTCATTGTTTAAAAGATACCGTCACGAATTTAAGTCTCAAGAGCTTTGGTCTGAGATTAAATATGTCCTGGATAATTTTGCTAAACCTTTCACCGATCTTTTTACAGCTACTGTTGCATTAGCAAAAACACATGCCAATAATCCAGCTGGACTTAAAATCATTTTCAGCTCTTTAGTGTTGTGTGCGAAAATATTTCAAAGTCTGAACGCCCAGGATCTTCCAGAGTTTTTTGAAGACAATATCTCCATCTGGATGACTCACTTTGCTGAACTGCTTGCTGTTGATCATAAATGTTTACAGACTGATGATGAAGAAGAAGCCGGTCTCCTTGAACAACTTAAATCCCAAATTTGTGATAACATCTCAATGTATGCTCAAAAGTATCATGATGAGTTTCAAAATTTTCTCCCAAATTTTGTACAAAGTGTATGGACTTTGCTGAGCACTATTGGCCTACAGCCAAAATATGATATTCTTGTTAGTAACTCAATACGTTTCATATCCACTGTTGTTGATAGACCTCAATACTCAAAGTTATTTGAGGATCCTAATGTACTTGACTCATTTTGCGCCAAAGTCATAATACCAAATATGCAGTTTCGAGACTCTGACGAAGAGATGTTCCAAGACAATCCCGAAGAATATATCCGACGTGATATTGAAGGATCTGATACTGACACCCGTCGAAGAGCAGCCTGTGATTTAGTTAAGGCTTTGAGTCGTTACTTTGAAGCCCAGATAACACACATTTTCAGTCAATATATTCAAAAAATGTTGGCTGATTTTGCAGCCAATCCCAAGAAAAATTGGAAAAATAAGGACGCTGCTATTTATCTAGTTACTGCATTATCTGTGAAGGGATCAACTGTTAGAACAGGTACAACCCAGACATCTGAGCTAGTTAACATTGTTGAATTTTATACAAATGTTATTAAGCAAGATCTAGATGACACCAATCCTGATTATCCACCAGTTCTTAAGGCTGATGCATTAAAATACATCATGACTTTCAGAAATCAGTTACCTTTGGAAGAACTGATTGTACCTGCTCTTCCTACCATTATTGCCCATCTGGCGTCTCCCAACATAGTGGTTCATTCTTACGCAGCTCATGCTATTGAACGTTTGCTTACAATGAGAGAAGGGTCTTCAAATGTCGCTCGTATTAAGGTTTCTTACATTCAAAACTTAGTTACACCGTTAATCTCTGGTTTATTCAACGTATTCAATTTCGAGGGATCAAATGAAAACCAATATGCCATGAAAGCGGTCATGAGAACATTAAGTCTTCTTCAAGCTCACACTATACCCTACTTTGATCAAATTTTACCTCGAATGACTCAAAAGTTGACTCAAACCGCCAAAAATCCAAGCAAACCTCACTTCAACCATTATCTATTTGAATCGTTGTCTATTTGTATCAAAGTTGGATCCCAAGCACATGAAGAATCAATTGCTACTTTTGAAAACATTCTATTCCCAGTGTTCCAACAAATCCTTGAGCAGGACGTTCAAGAATTTATGCCTTACACCTTTCAAATATTGTCTCTTCTATTAGAAGCAAGAAAACCTGACACACCTGTCCCCGATCATTATATTCAACTTTTCCCTGCTCTTTTAGCTCCTCTACTCTGGGATAGACCAGCAAATATTCATCCACTCGTTCGTCTTCTCCAAGCATACATCGAAAAATGTTCCCGTCAAATCGTCGAATCTGGCAAACTTGAAGCTTTACTTGGAGTTTTTCAAAAGCTCATCGCCTCCAAAACCAATGACCACGAGGGATTCTACCTGCTCCAAGCTTTAATGGAAAATCTTAGTGGTGATATTCTAGCTCCTTATTGGAATCGTGTTCTCATCTTGTTGTTCAGCAGATTAACTAGCTCGAAAACCGTCAAATTTATTCGAAGTCTCCTTATCTTTTTATCTTTATTTGCTTATAAATATGGTGCACAAAATTTAGTTACCCTGATTGAAAGCATTCAAGTCAATATGTTCATCATGGTAATTGAAAGACTTTACATTCCGGAAGTTCAAAAAGTAAGCGGAACTCTAGAAAGGAAAATATGTGCCGTAGGCATGACAGAAATTTTAAAGTTGCCTGTGCTAATTGAAGGAGCTGCTCAGCATCTGTGGTCTAACATGCTTCAAAGCTTAATCGCTTTATTCGAACTACCGGAAGATGACAGTATTCCGGAAGACGAACATTTTATTGAAATTGAAGACACCCCTGGTTATCAGGCGAGTTACGCTCAGCTTGTCTTTGCTGGTAAAAAGGAAGTCGACCCGTTCAAAGGAACCATACCTGATGCCAAAGCCTATCTTGCAGTCCAATTAGGACAATTGGCTCAAAAGTATCCTGGTCGATTACCTGGTTTAGTTAGCGCTATCGAAAGTGCTGCTCAAACTCATTTACACGGTTATCTCGTTTCAGCTAATGTATCGCTTGCTTAAATGCCTTGTGAAAACTAATCTAGCAACTTAATAATAATTTCATTGTTCTCATGCTTCATTTTGAATGTATTCATTTCATTTCTATAATACTTTTTGCATAAGAAAATTCAAAATTTTCAAACGTTGAAATTTAAAATAAATAAGTTACAAGTAAATTTATATATTTAACATTTTAATGATCAATAAAAATTTTACAGAACAATTTTAAATCAGTTAGGCTCGGAATTGAATAATATCTGTAAAATATGTGTCGAAATGTACAGACAGGCCAAGAGGAAATCTGTGGAGAATAAAAAAAATATGTATCAGAACCCTGGCATCGAAAATGAATAAAGTTGTCATCGAAGACGCGAAAAGTTAAGATTGATTTATTTTTCGCAATCTGATTGCCTAGATAAGTAATGAACTTACTCATCAAGGAGAGTTAAGATGCAGAAACTAGTATCAATATCAAAGACAATTAATTACCTGATAAAGCTCTGAAGTTAAACGACCAAAGCATGTGAATCAAAATCATGAGAGGCCACGTGGGTCAGAATCAACCTGATTAAAAGAAAATGTATTATGAGATTCGTATTAAAACTTGAATAATAACTTTCAAGCAAAACATAGCATTCCCATGAAAATTAATTTTGCAGCTTAGGGAACGACATGTAGGCCAGACATAAAACCAACATGTAGCAAAAACTGCCAAATAATCTAGGAAAACGCAAGAAATACATACCAAAAATCACAAGAGGCATCTCGATTACAACAATACAGAATCACCAACCCCGTTTACCAAGTACATTAATTCATCCATGAAAAGGCATGATTAGGGCCAGGTTCCTGAAAAGATAAAAATGTAAGATCTCCTTAGTGCCATTCAGTCAACAAAAAAGAAAGATGGTGTGGAAAAACTTATTTAATATAGCATGGCCATGGAGAAGTCAACACCGATTAAGAGATTGGCCAGACTTTAACTTGAGACCATGCCGATGAAATAAGCAATACTAAAACAATAACTTACCTAATAAATTTGAAGAATCATCATACAAACCTCGTAGAGGTTTTAACTAGCGAGTTCACATAATTGGATAAGAATAAATCACCAAAATGATTTGAAACATTAGACAAAGTACAATTAAAACTAATGAGTTGGTTGAAAACAGTAGATTACTTGTACTTAACTTCCAAATGTGTTTCCTTTTTAAACAAGAAAAAGCGGATGTAGATTTTTTCTGCTTTGTAGACTTATTCTCTGCCATCTAACGTATAAAATTACAACTGCAATTTTTTCGAAATTCAAATTAACAATTAACGAAGAGTAAAGTAACTTGGATCAACCTTTGATCGGCAAAATAAATTAACTTTCAATCTTAAAAGTTCCAACAATTTTCTTTTATTTTTAAAAAACAAACGTCTGGTCCAGTGTGACTAAATCAGTCACGAAAATGTTTCTTATTTTATTGCATTCAACTCTGCATAAAATTTAATCTTAAGCTGCATCTTAATAAAACCATGCTATTTGGGCTCATCTTGTTTTGATTGCCAGACTCTGAAATTTTGAATTCGGTTTTGATTCAATTAACTCCTTTTATGATTTATAAATGAATCAAATAATTACATATGCATTAAAGGCTGTGTATTTTGAACAATTCTACATTATCTAAATTTGACCACATAAATTTTATCTGTTAGCAGGTTATAATTGTGAACAAGTCAAGTCGCAATGTATTATAATTTAGAAACTGTCACTATGTTGAATATTAATTAGTATAATCTAAATCAATATAATATGCTCGATTAAGGAAATAAGATTGAATCAGTTTATGTTTTGTATCACTTCAATAACTTCAAGAAAAATCTTTATTGAATAGGAAAATTTCAATGTCCATACAAAATGTAACAATTGCCATTTGAATTACTTTTAGCAAATAGTTTTATGTTTGATCTTCCTTATTAAATTAATAACAATCAGAAGGTATTCTTGTATCAAAATTACGAGCGGCAATAATATCATCTAAGATAGCAAATATTGGATCAGGGGCAACATCCATATCCACGATGGTTGTCAACGGAGTTGTGAAGAAGTTTGCTATTAAAGCAATAGATACATCACCGATTTCCCGTTTTTTCTTAATTAACTTTTTAGTTCCACTAAATTCTTCAGTGACAATTTCGATCAAGTCTTGAGTTGGTAATGTAGAACGATCCATAAAGATTTCATCTATAACTTGTTCACGACTGTTATGACCATTCTCTGTTTTGTATTCAATGTCTTCAACAGTAATTGAAAATTCAGGTTCAACTGCGCTACTTAAGATGGTAGTTAATTCAGCAGAAGTAATTCCAGTTGATTGCAATAGATTGAAGACTTCTTTGGCACCATTTAATGCAAGTACCTTTATTGTTCCGAGCACCAGTTCATCTTTCAAGAGTAACCAAAGCGATGTTAAGAAACCTGATTCATAAAGCATCTGAATTAAATTGAATCTTGTTTCTGCATCTTGTTTAAATTTAATTGTATTGCAAATTGAGATCCATATGAGCAATATGTTTGACAAGACTTCAGAGTCAATTTCACTGAGAATCAATTGACTCATAGGCAATCCATAAAATTTGGTGAATAATTTTGAAAGTTCCCGATTCCATGAATTGGACGCTATGAAAGATGGATAGTTGTAATCTATTGCTTTGATAACTGAATCACGCAGAAGATATTCTCCTTCAATCAAATAGTTAGTTAAGATTGCTGGAATTGTTTGATTTTTTGAGATTCCGACCTTATTGAGCTGACTTTCGCAACAATATAAGTCGACACATAATAAAATAGGAATACAAGATGAGATTAAAGATGTATCGTTGGAAGTTTGGTAACAAATACTCCAATGGCTTAAGAAATTGTCAATAAGCTCAGGGTAGTATTTAACAAAGGATTCCCCATTCGAATTCAATACTGCAATCATTATTTCCAAAACACTATCAACTAGATCAAGATCTGCATCTGATGTGGTTAGAACCAGAATATCATTTACCTTTGAGCAAACATCAATCAATATTTGTTGCGGTAAAATATTCCGATGTTGTTGAATAATTTCACGAACGTTCTTCATTATTTCAAATTGGCATTGCTGCAAAGAGATTGACTCATTGAAAGAATCCATCATGAGGGCAAGAATAATTTCCAGTGATTTCAGGATGATAGTCGGACAGTCAGATAGCTTCCAAAGTAAATTGAATGTAATAAGACTTTTGAAAACAGTTTTTTTCGGAATGATGGAGTGCTGTGCATCTTTCAAGAAATTTCCAATACAAAGTAAAATAAATAGGTGCTCATCACTGGATAATAATGAGACAACTTTTTCATCGATACAACTCAGAGCCAGCATAATGAAGTCATTTTTTCCGTATTCAGCTATTAATTTCCTAGTGATCGAATCTCCAATGATTTGTTCACTCAACTCGGTATTTGACTGGGCAAAAGGGTAGATTGTGAACAGTTTCCATTCATTAAAATGGGTTTTATCGTGGTTTTTGAGGAGAGCAGTGTAAAATGATATAATTGCTTTCAATTTCTTATCAGCCATTAAAGTTTGAACAACTTGTGTGATGACTTCTTCAGATGGTCTGCAACAAGCTAGAATTTCACAGAATAGCGAAAGTAATTTATCATTTTTGATGGATGACTTGAGCTTCGATAATAAGATTGTATCGAGGTTGAATTGGGAAATGAGGAATCTTCTCATGCAATCTTTTTTCACTAGATTGTTTAAACATTCCATATGGCTTTTGCAATTGACGAGTAGCATTTGATGTAAATAAGGAGATAGTTTATGAGAAACATTAGGCTTATCAAGAACATTTTCCAACAAGATAGTGATGACGGACTGAGCTTCCATTTGAACATAAAATCCTTGGCTCTTTGTTAGAAGATGAAAAATAACCAACAGCAAATCTTCGTTTTTTGCAAGCAAAAGGCAACCAGATTCAGTTGAGCAAAGCTTATTGATACATTTGAGGAAAGAGTATTGGAGATCGTAGTGCGGCTCTTCTTCATTTTGAAGGAGATGAGAAAATTTAATAATCCAATTAAAGCTAGAGGTAACTACTTCAGGCCTTTGATTGATAAATCTTTCATCAGAGACGATTGTTCCAACCAATTTGAATGCAGTAGATAGTTCAATATCATTAACAGCTGTTTCGTGGCTAAGAGCATTTCCAACAATGTTGTTCAGTTTATACAAATCATCCAAGGATAATTCTGGTTTAACAAAATCAACTAGATCAATTAATTTGTGAGTATAAGAGTCGTCGCTGTTTTCTTTCAAGCTTTTATAAAGTATTAACTCTATAGCACAGATTAACTTGTCCAAATTGAATGTTTCCATATTAATCAAGAATGACAGTTTAGCAGACAGTATGAAGATGGTCACTTTAAAGGCTGAGCTTTTTCATCTTTTAGTTGACCTATTGTTGAACACAGAAAATTTGAGCATTAATAACACTGACTCGCAAAAATCATTAGATGCAATTTACCTCGTACTTGTCCAAGAACTGATTGCTTGTCTTGCAGTAAAAACACGGAAGAGTTAGGTAAGCGCTTGTAAACTTTCTGAAAGATAAGAAAAAGATCAGTTAATTATTGTTGATCATAAATAGAAACTGATCTTATGATGGGAAATTATCAATTATCAGCGAGAAACAATACAAATACTCACATCTTTTTTTGTGGTTCTCAGTTCATATTCCAATACTTGCAACTCTTGTATAACCTGTACAGTAACATTTGAAATAAAACGAAAAGCATGATGAAATAATTTCATAAACCATAATTGACAGCCATGGTGAATTCAGTTCGATTTAACTTACCGGATTATTTTGATTTTGACTCATGATACAGCATAGAAAGAGAGGTAATGTGGAATAAACAATACAAGCCAATATTGAATATGAGTTTTCTTAAGCAAACCACATATGTTTAATTATCACACTTTTGCGATCCAATCAAAAGAGAAGAAGATATCTGTGAAACAGCAATTGGAAAACTCACTGCAATCAAAAATGAAAGGAATTAATTCTTCGTCAGAACTCACGTTAAAAATAGCACTGCTGAAAAATAGGAAAAATCACTTCTATCAGATGTAAACAAAAGGGAACCTTTCATCACTAAAACAAGATAGAGTAAGCACATTAGAGAGTAAAATCACTGAACGATTAATACTCGTCAAATGTTTCTCCATAAAATATCCACAGATTTATTGATCAATATATTTTTACCCTCTTTGATCAATTAAACAGTGGATAACTTGTAAGTTAAAAATAATGACTTCAAAGAAGTGGCTGGAGTAAAACGGACTGAGCCATAGCTTTACTGCTCAGGAATACGTTTTTGCAGGGACAATGTAAACTTCCAGGTACCAATCGAATCACTGTCGTTCAGGCAAATTAACGCCGATTTTAATGACGATTAGATCAAAAGGTTTGTCAGCAGTGGGATTCGAACCCACGCACACATACGTGTACCAGATCACTCTTAAACCTCACGAAGAGGCAAGAAATTATCTTGAGTCTGGCGCCTTAGACCACTCGGCCATACTGACTTTGCGATAATCCGGAAGTCTTGTAATTTTTATTTAAACAAAATGTTAATTCTACTCTTCGATGAGTTTTTAATTTTATGATAGATTAATAGAGTTAAGAACGAGGATCATTTTGGTGTATAAATTATGTATCTAAGTACAAAATTTTAATTGTTATTTAGGGCTTAAAATGAGTGTCTCCTCGACTCACGTGACTAGATGAAGTAATCAAAAAGCTGAGGTCAAGATAACATTGGAACACACTATAATAGACTCAACAAAAATACCCAGCAAGGATTAGCAATATCGGAGAAAATGGTCTCAAGAAATTGTTGGTTAACCGAAAGGTAAAATGACGCTCATACAATTTTCAAATGCTTGAGGTTGCCGCTAGATTGGTGGTAAGGCGATTGATTGAGGAGTTGAAGCAGACTACCGGTATTGATGGGAAGATTGAATAACAGCTGGAAAACAATTAAGATAAATTTCATAAAATTTGTAAAATAGGCTGGGCATTCAACTTCGAGTAAAACGGTACCAACAGAAAAGACAGAGAAACAGTAGAATGGGTTATATTATCATTGAAAATGATAACTCGTTGAAGTTATCTATTTCATGCAAGATAAAAAGCCTTGTTATTTTTGTGTGTTACAAGTAATTTAATTAAAACCACGGAATTATTTGCCTCTCATTAAACATTCAACTTGAAGTACATTATATCAGTTGTATATCTCTTCAACTCACAGTAAATGAGTCAATTAAGCCTGATATTTCAACTGAACTCACCTTGTAACAATTATTTTTCTCTCATAATCTCAATTTGAGTTTTTTCCTCAGATCCCCCTTTGATTGAAACTTTGAAAGTTGTACATTGAGCTGACTTTACAGAACCTTTGGATTTTGTCACCAATTTAACCAATTTAATAGAGTCACCTGTTGAGTACTTAATGGTCAACTCGATTCAATTTCATCGATTTGCTTGTTCACGAGTAATGTACTTGGAATGGCAAGTTTTCACTTTCATTAAAAGCTACTAATTACTAATACACCTTGCCTGACTGGTTTTTAGTCAATATTAACGGCTGGTTTTGTTTCTGATTAAAGTAACTGAAAAGTTGCTCAGCAAACTGTAACAAGTTGCTATAGACATGTATTGAATCACGCAAAGGCTAAAGAGTGAAAGTTGTAACTTGCATCATTATCCTTCTCAGCCCTCAATTCTTATCATCTGATTTCAGTTTTTTCACCAAACCAATATTGATGCTTCTATTGATAACTGTAATACCAATCAAAGATTAACACTTTCAATACTTGTTTCATTAATAATCATGGCTACATTTTTCTCTGTGTAATTTCTCTAGTCATGTTTCTTTGCCAACTTTCTTGATACTTGTTGCCTGTCAAAGTCAGCAGTAGCTTCTATGTTTTTCTCTCTTGGTGGCAAACAAAACAACTAAACCCTTATTTTGTTGGTCCTTTATTTAATTTTAGTTAATTGTTTATGAATTTTTAATTATATTTTAAACCAATGATTAACAGAAGAGCAAGGAACTATCTTCATCTATTTAATCAACTCGTTTATCAACAAAAACGTTATCATCTCTATTGAACAAGTGCATTGTCTGATTCACAACATCATCCTTCTATGTTTGGCAAATACACAAATTGAGACTCCTTGTTATACGCACTTCCAGCTTAATTAATTGCCTTCCAATTCTTCATTATTAGTGATATCATTATTTTATTAATTTATTAACACTACAATCAACACCAAACACTGTTAATATCTATTATCCGTATATCTTAAATATATCATCTACAGTTTGTTTTGTGATTTCTCAAATTGAAAGCAACCAGAGCCTAGTAAGCCAACCTAAGGTAAGTTACTTTACTCCTATCTAGTTAAGGCCCTAATTTTAATTGCACCCCTGTCTCAATTTTATTTCTTATTGATATATAATTATCCTTCATTAATAGTTATTCGTTTTCATTTATTCATAGGTTCACTCTGCTTGATAAGATCAATGAAAGAAAATAGAGTGAAAGCAAAATCTGGTAGCTACTAAAATCAAACTTGTTGCTTCTTTTTCAAACCAATTGGTGCCTGGATGTTTTTAAGCTTAAATTTTGCTTAAAATGATTCATCTTTGGATATTATATTTTTGCTGCATTTCTTCTACGCTTTCACAAAGTCTTTTGGACCAAGGAGGCTTATTGGCTGCCTTTGGAGACTTGAATAATGACAAGTTGACGGACATTTTTGTGATAACAGATGATGGAAATTCGTTTGGTGCTCTTTTAGCTCAAAAGGGTAAAAATGCATTCAGTGGAGTTGACCGTAAATGCACCATGCCTGATAATGAAATCATAGTTGAACTTATCCCTAGCGATTTCACTGGTAATGCTATGATGGATGTGTTGGTGGTTTCTGGCACCCCTAGTAAAGGAGACCTTATTGATACGTTCAACTTGAGACTTTTACGACCAAATGGTTCCCTACTAGACTGTGCTCCTCTCTCCGAACGCCCTTTTGCAACAGTCAACTCACATCCCTTGCTACTTGACTATAACGGTGATATGATATCTGATATTTTAGCTCAAGATGGAAAAATTGATCCAGTATACTATGTTTGGATCGGCCGTGAGGAAGGAATGCCAGAAAAAACTAAATTTCCAGCTAGCAAGGATGGTTTTAAATCTTCTCGTTCATTACCCATGAAATCTCCACATTCTAATGCCTTTATAGATCTCAATAAAGATGGGGTTGCTGATATTTTTATTACAACTGCAACAGAAATGCAATACTGGCTTGCTAGTGAAAATGGCTATCTAGAACCTACTTATACCTTTGAATATCCAAAATCTTCCAAAGGCTCATTGAAAATCGGACAATCTATTTTTGTTGATATCAATTCTGACGGACAAATTGATCATCTTGTACCTGTCTGTAATCCTCATTATTGTAGCATTTACGGTCTCTTATGGAATTTCACTGCTTCTTATGAATGGGAAATTTTATTAGACGACATCAAAATCGATGGCAATCCATATCAATTTGTTGAAATAGATCATATTCATTTTAAAATCCCTATGGCCTTGAGAGCTGGTGATGTAACAATGGATGGTTATCCTGATTTGATTGCAATTATGCGTCACGGTTCTCATGTTAACGAGGTGGTAATCTTTCAAAATGAGCCATCAGCCAATAATTCATTTGGCAGACATTTATCTCCTTCTGTAGTTCCTTTAAAGAAAAGTCTTTCCAACGCTGGTGATCCTGAACTAGCAACTTTCTTTGATATCTCGGAAAATGGAAAACTCGATATTCTCATAAATACAGGACCCTTGTACAATGATTCACGAACACCTTCTACTCCTTTGCAAACTCGAAAGATGAAAATTTTTGGTGAAATAGATGAATCAGGAATAGATTCAAATTTTCTCAAAGTTCTTGTATCAAGTGGTCTCTGTACTGATCGAAATTGTTATGGTAAAGATTATTATGTTATCGAAAAATACCGTGTTCCTTACGGTACAAACAGAGCGGGTCCAACAGTCTGCACATCTTTATTGGACTCGAAAGGTTTACAAATGGAATCTTGTGCCGGACAATTGTCCCAATCAGCTCACTTTGCTCTACAAATGCCTTATTGTTTTTTCGGTCTTGGACCGTATGCAAATTATATTGATCGCCTTACAGTAACTGTTCCTTCTGGTAATACAAGTACTATTTTGAAGCACGTTGAAGAACAGTTTGTTCCCGATTCTCAGATTGTTATCATCACCAATCCCTTAAATGAGCCTAAAAAGTGGAAAGTTCAATTCTGGTTGACACCTAGTGAATTTATAAACAAAACATTGTACACCTTTACGGCTATTTGTTTAGTGTTGATTATTTTAATTGCTATTCTCCATCATAAAGAAGTCAGGGAAGATGCGTACGAAAAGCAACTTTTCAAAGGTTTTTGGGTTGATAGTTAAAAATATTTTCGAAAAGTGGAAGCTATAAAAGGTGCAAAGTTCCTAAGTGTCTTTTAATCCATTCAAGTTTGTTAACCGATTGATATTAAAACGATTAACGTTACCGAAATCAGTGAAGAAAATGTTTACTTCCTAAAGTTGTGTTTTTATTGAAATATTTCAAGTGCCACCTATTGGTTTGACATCCATCAAAAAAGATCATCACCTGAAGCTGGTCACATTGTAGATGGTCAATGGTTGACATGCATCGATGGTGAACTAGGCTCAACAAAGACACATTACATCCATGAAATTACTCTTGTGTTGAAAGTTGACCATTTCTTGGAGAAACATTCCTTTTGGTCAAGATTGTTTCATTGTTTTTGTTCTATAGTTAAACACATCATCATCCACCTTTGAAATTGTGATTGTTTATTTTGGTAACATTGCATCCTAAATTTGTCTTCCAAGATGTTCTCGCATATTTTCGCATTCAACTTTACAAGTAGTAAAAAGAAGGCCTCTTCATCAACTCCATCATCATCTGACTCTGATAAATCAACCAGCGAACTTCTATCTCAATCGCATGTTATCAAAGAGGATGACCGAATCGAGGCTTATGTTGACTTTTCTTCTTTTAATCAAATGTGTAAAAAATCAAAAAAAGTCTCAAACGTTTTAAAGCAAATCAACAACTTACCTTGACAATTGTTTAAATTTAATATTTGTAAATTTACCTCTCTCCTCTTCTCATCCCTTCATTCATGTTTGAATGCTTTTTTCTATCTCTCATTGCATATCCAGCAAATCTTTTTAATCAAATGTTTTTGTAAATTATGATCAAACTCAATTGAAGGTAATAAATTTTGTCCATTTAGATATAAAATTTGTGTACTTTTAATTTATCTTGAATATCACACTACTGTATGTAATGTTCCATTAGTAATGGATGCAGGATCGTCAACACTCCAACAACACTAGCAATACTCCAAATCCCCAGGATAAATCCAGTTACTCTATTAAAATTAACTAATGTCTATTTTAACGTTAATTAGTGTGGGCCAAGAATCGCTAAGACAAAAGGAAATAAATGAAATGAGAAAGATTAAGTTACTTTCTGTGAGAAACATTTGATACTGTTGATAATGAGATAGGACAGTATGACCGTCTTATGTGAGCCGTACACCGATTTGACCTAGAGAGGAAGAAGAAGAGAATGATGATGATGATGATGAAGGATGAGGAGGGAAAAAGCAGATACAGTGAGCAGCGAAAAAAGTGAGAACCGGAAACAAAGGACTTGAAAAAATCAAACAAATATAACAGTCATTTCATTTTTTGGTTTCACAGACTTTTATATCATAAATTGAACGATGCTACTTTAATACGAATAACTTTGTGTGTGTATAAACAGGTGAATTGATAGTTATCAATATTTGATTTTATATTTGTATTTGATGATTATTTCATAAATATCAGTCAACTGTAACAATTACTAGATATTATTAGACTAAAGTTTTGCTAACCAAAGGATATCCTTGTGTATGCCGAGGAGTGAGAGTCAAGTTGAAACTTGTCTCAATAGATGATGTAAAATAGTCGAGACTTTACTGACCAATGTAATACGTTTAAACACTCATCGATACTAGATAACGCAATTTGGTTGGCTCATTTGATCAACTCGTCAATGGAATGATGAGTCAAAGATTTAATGATTGTCCAATATAATCTTAAATATTTTCATTGTGATTTTACTCCAATTTTTTTACCAGTTTTCAAGTTAATTTGTTTGCCTTTTACATATTGTTGAAATCATCTTGAAATGAATAAATGTCTATTTCATATTTTTATCACCTTTGCCTGCTTGTGTTACACCAGTTTGTATCTTTCATTGATTGTGAATGGTGCCTTGCTACCTCCAAGTCTTCGTATTCTTGAACCATCCAATATACCCAATAATTCTTGGAAAACCTTTAAATCAGGAATTAATTCAACGAATATACCTTCAGGAAGCAAAATTCATTTGCGTTGTGATGGAGTTAAGCCATTGGTTTGGAAGTATCCTGAAAATATTGTGGTAAGTCAATAGATTTTTACAAAACCCGGTTTATTCACCATTTTTGCAATCAACTTAACCAAGAAACTCATGTAATGGTTTTAGCCTGACAATAGTTTGAATCCAGTACGAAGCTGCAGAGCTTCCCATTCCCAAGATGAAATAACCAACAATTTTTATAAACTCAATCAAGGACTAAAAAATAGCATCTAAAAGCTAAGAAATATTTTCGTTTCTGGTCTTAGCGAGATAACTTATCAGCTTCCGAAATATATCCAGAGCTAAGAAGTTATCCAAATTAGATGCCGCTAATTAAGTTACTTGTTGTTGATTGCAATGTCTTAACCATTATGATGATTGCTGAAGATCAGGATGACAAAAAATTATTAAAATGGGGCATTCAAAGTAATGTTGTAAACAAATTGAAAACTAATCAAACCGGATAAACGCTTTCCGTTCCATAATGTGTTTCATTTTGTATTGTTTGCATTTAGCTATTTAAATAATATTTATATTCAGTCAAGAAGATGAATCTTAATTAAAACTTACCTTAATGGGTTTTAGCACGCTTGTTTGTCAGTTAGAGTATTGGGTGTTGAAAGCGAATGCGAAATTTGTGGAAGCTTTATATATTTTCTGGAAACGATGATTTTTTATTAATATTGAATATTTTTTGGTTGACCTTTGTTGACATTAAATTCATTGAAAAATCAATCCATCAGGAAACGACGTTTCCTCTAAATATTCAGTTGAAAGATGATCACGATAAGTCACTAAAATATGTTTTACCTTTGTTTACTCAAAACAATGAGCTAATCGGTAGCTTCTTTTGGTTTAGTTTTTGATTCATATGTTATCCAATGGATGAGCCATTTATTAAGATAAATCATTACTAATATAATAAACGTATTACTATTTTACCGTTGATCGGCCAAGCATGACATAGTCAGGTTAGAGGTTATTCAACAGGTGACCCTAGGGCACCGGATTTTATCTTCTGTGTACAGTTCCTTTTAGCTATTTTCCCATAGACTGAAAATGGTAAATGTAAACAATTAATATTGATACAGAGATATTTCGATTACTAGTGTGAACCATGAAAATTTTCGAAGAAACTAAACCATGATTTGATTTAACAAAAATATCAGAGCTCTGACGATTAAATGAGCTACATTTGCCGAAGCAAGACGCTATAATTGATTGAAAAGTCAAGGCAAATCTTACAATTTGTTAATTGAGTTTGAATAAAAAGTTATAGCACATAATTTATTAAACATTGGGTTATATTCAGGCTGAGAGTTTCTCTTTACGTTTTGATTTCAGGACTTTCACCTCTGTCCGGCATTCAGTACTTAAACAACGCGATCTGTGATTCTCTTTCATTAAAAACATACAATTGTTAATAAAAAGACACAACTAACACTATTGTAACATTTATGCACAGATTGACACAGGTACTGAAAAAAAAAATGATCAAAAACGGGTAAAAACTAATTTCTTGCAAATATAGACTCTGACAGTTTGTATGGACATAAAAACTGGGTCCATTAATGTGATTTAAAAGTTTCGATGACCGATAGTTCACGAAAAAATCGAGTTGAAAGTTGAAACTTCGATTGCCTTTTGTACAATAATGGAAGCAGATATTACCATGAAACTCATTTCGCTGATGTGAATTTAAGTTATCAATCAGAAAATGCAATTGTATCGAGAAATAAAATTTCCTGTTCGAAATAAAATCGATAAGTTCGATTTTCATTTAAAGCGACTTATTTCTGTGATCGTAAAATTTAGAGACCTCAAACTTATTTTCAGTCCACAAAAATTGATGGCACACACCATGAACCCAATACTTTTTTCGATTTAGCGACAGTTCTCCTAATTTTGGCCATTAACCCAAAAACTTTGAGGCTAAATATCTCGAGAATAGTAGAACCCACAATCATCATTCTTTAACCAAACATTAGATTTTGTTATGATTTATGATGTGTTATTAATTTCAGATGATTGCAGAAACTAGGAAAAAAGTTATAACATTTATTAGTTAGGTAACCAGATTTGATACCAGATTTTCAAAGATAACTGGTTACTTATCACGTGTCAGAAGAATATTCATTATTAAATCAATCAGTTAGGATTTCTTCGGTTTCTAGTCACATAATATTATAACCCATAACAAAATCTAATGTCTGGTCAAAGAATCGTTATTATGGGCGCTACCATTCTCGAAATATTTTGCCTCAAAGTTTTTGGGTTAATGGCCAAAATCGAGAGAACAATCGCTAAATCGAAAAAAGTATTGGGTCTATGTTGTGAAGCATCAATTTTTATGGTTGGGAAATAAGTTTGAGGTCTCTAAATTTTACGGTCACAGAAATAAGTCAGTTTGAATGAAAATCGAACTTATCGATTTTAATTCGCACAGAAAATTTTATTTCTCGATATAAGTTCATTTGCTGGTTGATAATCAAAATACACATCAGCAAAATGAGTTTCACGAAAATATCTTCTTCCATTACTGTACAAAAAGTGTTCGAAGTTTCAACTTTCGACTCGATTTTCTCGGAAACTATCGGTCATATAAACTTTTTATTAGCACCAATGGGCTCAGTTTTAATTTCCCTACAAACCTACAGAGTCTAAATTGGCAAAAAATTAATTTTTATCCGTTTTTGGCCATTTGTTTCACAGTATTTATGTCAATTTGTGCATAAATGGGAAAAAAGTTGTTGTTTGTGTCTTTTAGTAACAAACAAAGCACACTATTGAGTAGTTTCATGAGTTTTATTCCGATTGTTATTGTTAGCGAATGTTTTTGCAGCGTTTTTGTGGTACTTATAATTGCTGCTATTTGATGACTAATTATTTGCTTCCAATTACTTTTCAGGATGAATCAATTTCAATGGAAAACCTTATTAAAATCAATAATAAGTGTCAACCCGATACTTATAGATCTGGTAAATCGTTATGTTATAGTGAATTAATTCTTACCAACGCAACTTATGAACAAACTGGAGCTTATACTTGTTTGTATAGTGGTATACAAAATGTCGGGAGATCTGTTTATTTTTTTGTTAATGGTAAGAATTAACTTATCCTTATATCTATTTAATACGAATCAATTTGGTATATTAAGATCAAGTCAAATCAACTCTTTTCCATTGTTTTATGTTTAGATCCTGATTGTTTATTGGTGCCGTTTGAAGGCAATCCATCGTATATTTTGGTATCGTTTATTCAATCTCAACCAGCAACAATTCCATGTATACCAACAAACTCTGCAACAAATGTTACTCTATGGAAAACTTATGCTGAAGGTGGACCTCAGATGATTGAAGTCGGTGAAAATACTGGTGTAACATTTGACCCAACCTCTGGCTTTCATTTTGATAAACCAAAATGGGATTCCGAGTCATCATCATTAAAGTGTTTAGCTATTTTAGACGATAAAGAGGAAGACATGTTAGTGACTATTCACTGGTCAATTGAGCCAATCTATGGCATAAGACCAATAATAAATACTGATGATTTTGTTCACATCAATGGGACTTTTAGTTTAACTTGTATCGCTCATATTGAAGTTGGTATTTTAATCACCATGGCTTGGAGTTATCCAGCCTTACACACAGAACCAGCCTTTTCATCATCTGAGGAAAATTACAGAATAATTGAAAGTGAATCCGTGACTCACAAGAATGGCGAAGGATCCTATGAAACAGTTTCACGCAAATTAACAGTGATCAATGTGACAGCCGAAGACGAGGGTAACTATTATTGTAATGTAACAGATGCTCAAGGTAGACTATATACCGATGTTAAGTACATAACTGTTTACAATCAAAGCTTCCAAGCATTTGTAAACTTTTCAACGGCTTTAAGCAAAACTCATTTCTTGGTCAATGTTGGCGAAACCTTAAAATTAGTGGTCAACGTTCATGCCATTCCCGACATCTCATCGGTTCAACTAGTTTGGTTTAAAGATGGATCACAGTTGGGTTTAGCAAATAGAGATAAAGACACGGGTAAAGAAGATTCCAATGTGAAAAATCCATTATCCACACAATCGACTAATCCAATAAAGCTTAGAATCGATCATAATCAAGCAATTCTGACAATAGCTAAATTAAGCATGAAAGACACTGGTGTTTATACTCTTGTTGGAAACACTACTGACATGTCGACTGAAATATCAATAGTTGTTGAAGTGAAGGGACAACCTTATATTGAAATAATCAACTCTCAGCGATTTTTCCATCAAAACTCTTCTTACAATTTAACTTGTGCGGCAATAGCAAGTCCATTGCCAGTGATTTCTTGGTCATTTTTCCCATGTAAACCATCTCTCTGTGGGCAAACTTCACGACTAACCTCAGCATATGGACAATGGATCAATCCTTTAGATGAACGACCAAATAATGAATCCATCATCAGTACAGTTCAATTTTCAAAAAACAAAACCGATCCCATCACAAAACCATATTCAGTTCAATCCATCTTAAACATTGAATATGCCAATAAAAGTGGAATCTATCGATGTTATGGTGAGAATGCAAACGGAACCAGTCATGTCGATAAATATTTTATCGTGACAACTGCAGGTTCAGAAGGTTTCGATATTAATGTCAATGCAAGTGAAGCTGTTGAGGAAGACGATATTATGTTGACCTGTCAAGCCTCCATTTATAATTACACCAAACTAGACTGGTACAAAAAACCGACCCGAGAAGCTTACTCATCTCTAAGAATGATGTTCAATGTAACTGACCATGTAGTCATTTCATCTTACATTCATCAAGAATCAACTCTGATAAGTACATTGTTGCTGTTGAAAATTGACCCTTCCGCTTCTGGTACATATTATTGTAATGCTACACTAAGAAATGCCAATGGAAACCAATCACCGCCAGTCGTAGCCAGTCAATCACCAACATCACACGTTCCGTTTGAGACGAAAGAATTGAATATAATTGTTGAACCCATAAGTAAACCCAGATTGGTTAAAACAAATATGGTCGATAAATTGGCGACTGTTTATCCTTCAATGATGAATGAATTTTACTGTTATGTCACTGGAAAACCAAAACCAACTATTGAATGGCTTAAAAATGGACGCTATTTCAATACCACGGGCATGTTTGGTGTAGATTTAGTTGATGATGGGCAACGCTTGGTTATTCATCGACTTGTAACCAGTGATTCGGGTAAATACCAGTGTAAAATATCCAATCGCGGGGGAACTTTGAATGTTTATTCATCTCTGAAAGTTCTTGGAGAGGCGAGCGATGGTTTAAGCCTTGCAAATATAATGGCTATAGCAACCTTTCTCGTTGTTGCTCTCGTCTTGGTTTTCATTGCTTTTGCAATTGGTAAACGTATTCGAGAAGATCGTAAAAGACAGATTGAATTTTTCACTGCCAATCTATTTAATCCGTCGCCATTGGACTCTTTCGATCCCGAATTACCATTGGATGAACAAGTTGCTTTATTATCTTATGATTCTCGTTGGGAGTTTCCTGATAACAGGCTAAAAATGTTGCGAACGCTTGGTGAAGGTGCTTTTGGTCGGGTCATTTTAGCCGAGGCTGTGGGTCTTGGTGAATCTGGTGACTCTCAAATGGTTGCAGTTAAAATGTTGAAACCTAATTCAGATTACTCCCAGAAGAAGGCATTAATTGCTGAGCTTAAAATTCTTATACATTTGGGTCGACATTTAAACATTGTCAACTGCCTTGGTGCTGTCACTAAGAACATGGACCGAGGTAAACTCATGGTTATTGTTGAATATTGTCCTTATGGGAATCTCAGGGACTTTTTACGAGAACGAAGAGAAGGTTTTATTGATCAAATTGATCCAATCACTCAACAAATTGATAGAAAGAGAGGTTTTCGCAGATTGGACGAGAGCATATTTGATATCGCAAAATCAACAGAACAAGAAACTGATTCAAGGATTCCAAGTGTTGTTAACAATCCCTACTACTCCAATAACAATTTCAACTCCAACAATCAAGCAGCTTTGATTGAAAGTGTTCGTTATGCTAACATTAACTCCGACTACTCTGGTAATTCAGTACAAATTATTACTCAAGCTAACAAACACGGCATCAATAGCTCAACTGAAAAAATCGATCCTGGAGATTATCATCAAGTAACTACATGCGATTTAATTGCCTTTGCTTTTCAAGTAGCTAGAGGAATGGAGTATCTTGAACAAAAAAGGGTAAATTGATTTTATTTACAATGAATTTATACTTTATTTAGCAACTTATTTCAATCAATGATGTATATTTATTTATATATTTATTAGTGTTTATTAATTTTAAAATGTTTTGTTTCCCTTTTCCCTTGGTAGCTTATTCATCGTGATTTAGCGGCAAGAAATGTCTTGGTCGCTGAAAAAGGTGTTGTCAAGATTTGTGACTTTGGTTTAGCCAAAAATATCCAACAGGACGATAATTATGTTAAGAAAGGAGATGCACCATTGCCTATTAAGTGGATGGCAATTGAATCTATTGGTGATCGGATATTCACTATTAAATCTGATGTTTGGTCTTTTGGAGTTCTTTTGTGGGAAATTTTCACCTTGGGTAAATCACCTTATCCGGGTATTCCGGCTGATCAACATTTCTATGAGCAATTGGTTAAAGGATACCGCATGGAACAACCTGATAAATGTCCTCAAAATGTTTATTCAATGATGAATGATTGTTGGCATTCCAATCCAGCCAACAGACCCAATTTCACCCAACTTGCAAATAGATTGGGAAGTTTAATTGAGGATTCTGTAAGAAATTACTATCTAGAGCTTAACAATCCATACCAGGAAGCAAACAAAGCCATGATTACTGATGAAGATGCTGGTGAAGAAATAAATTATCTTGCGATGAATGGACCTTGTGATGACTATGAAAATATGTCTCCAATGGATCGACCCTCTTCAGACCCTTTTGATCATTATGATGAACTAAACTCCATTCGTCCTCTTCAGAAGGCTCATACTAGTCCAATGGAAATCGTTCCTATGATTCATTTTGATAGTTATGAGGATGGAACTGGTAAGGTGAATGCTGAAGAAGACGGTGTTGGGTCAAATTATCTCACAATGGATGTTCAATGTTTATCCAATTATCTTGAATCGCCATCATCTCCTTCATCGACCTCATCTCCTAAATCATTCCCTTCAATGCCAAATTATAATCTAGTCATAGATCAACCAGCGTATGCTAACTTGTCCGCTGTAACCTGTAAATTGTGACCAATCAAATGATGAAAATCTAATACGAAAGGTGGGAATTACAATTAGAGAAATTTCTTTTCTCAACTCATACAGAACTACTTGATATTATGAAATGGACATTAAATTTTTAACACAATATTTGAATACGACAAACAGAAATAACAAAACTGTAAATCTAAATGGATTGAGTTTTCACTTATGCTGAACTCAAATAAACTAATCATGTCAAAACTGATCAATGCGAGTTCGTTATCAGTCAATGAAATAAAGTATGATATCATATATTGCTATTTATTAAATACATCTTTATTAAAATTGATATCTCAATCAAACTGTGCTACAATCATTTTAATTGATAGGAGCCATTCCTTTGGTTTAAATGAATATTGTAATATTTCGTGTGGGAGTTTTTTCGGATGTTGAGGGAATTAAGGCAAATTATTAAATTCTGACTGAAATTTTCACGAATCGCTCGCGAATCGAAAATTTTCACTGAAATGTACTTTATTGTAAATTAAATTTAATATTTCATTGAGTCGGACATTTTTCAGTCAAAGACTTTTATATAAGCTTTGTGGATTGAATTCCGAGTGGATAATAATAACAATTATAAAGTGAATGCATGAGATATAAGTGCTAAAAGGGTCAGATTGATAATAAATTTTATCAATATATAACTGAGAAAAGTTTGATTCAGTTTACATGACGAAATTTCGAATGAGAATTTTCATTTATTAATCGAATGAATCAAGCCATTTCGAAAAGTGAGTCAGAGAAAGGGAATAAGCGAACATAAATTATTTCATAATCATTGGGATTTAGCTTTAATTTAAGAGTTGCTGTAATTAAAAAATTGATTAAAGAATACTGTCACTATCGGTAATAACTTTCCAGCCATTATCTTCAGATAGCTCATCGTTTTTGGGTCCAACAACGGCATATCGATGAGGTACTTCTGCTCCAAGATATTGATGCGCAACCTTTTTCACGTCATCAAGGGTAACATCCAATAATCGGAGACGATAGTTGTGAAATATTTCATCTGAAATACCATCAAGGAATTGTCTCGTTCCTTGACTTCCTGGAGTAATTGGTTTATCAACTGATTGGAAAACTGATAATTTTGCTTCATCTAGAGATTGTTGGTTAAACGAATCACTTGAATTGATCCACGCAAGAGATTCATCAAAAACTTTGACTGTCCTTACAACATTGGGGTCACGATATGAATAATATGAAAGTATTCCTCCTTGATTGATCGATGCTCCGGCACCATAAGCACCGCCTTTTTCTCTGATTTCTTCTCGAACATACTTAGAGGTCAATAATGCAGCCATGATGCGTAATTTAGCATGATCAGGGTGATCATAAGGAACAGTTAGAATTGATTTAGCAACGAAATTTGTATTAAAAGGAAACACGAAATGTTCCTTTTTAAAATCTTTTTCGATTGGGTATTCACTTTCACCGGGTTTATTGATTCCTGGTGATCCACCAGAAGGGAGTTGATTCAAGAAATGTTCAAAATGCGTTAGTGAGTTATCAATTGTTGATGGTTCAGCGTTTATAGCAATCTTCATAGATTCTTTACGGAAAACGAGTTTACCCAAAGTAATCAGTTTTTCTCGTAAATCATTTATATCGTTCTTCTCAGCTAATTTCTTGAGAAAAACAATGTGAGAGAGTCCAGAACAAATCTCACGGAAAGATCCAGAGCTCTTGAGTGTGGAGGCAGCTCTGATCATAGCAAAAGAATGACCACCGTGAGCTAAATTTTCTGTTCCTTCTGAGGCCATCATCTTAATTATTTGACTTAAATGTTCATCTTCATCATATCGCAAATGGTTCATTATATCTGACCATAAGTTTAACATAAATTCTAAATTTCTTTCTAAACAATGTGAATAGAAAAGAACACCGGTTTGATATTCATCTAAATTAGCAATATTTTCCCTTAGATGTGATCGAGCTACCAATCCACCAGTTCGCATTTTAATCTCTTGATCCATCTGTTTGTGATCTCTAGATCCAGCTCCTAACTTAGTGATCAGTTCACAAAAAATTGGCCAATATGGTTTAAGATCTTTGGGTAAATCTGATTCGGCCAAATGTATAAATGACCTAAAATATACAACAGTATTAGTTGGTTGAGGTGATATTTGTACAGGAATTGATGCAATTTGACTGTGATTCAAGTTTGTGGTAACCATTTTCCTTGAAATATCGCCATTAACATCCAAACAAGGCAAACAAGAGGCGTCCATATTATTATCCACATAATCTCTTAATTCTATTCCTTGCTGATAAATTTTCTCTTTCTCTTCGGGTGTCAGTTTGTCTGTTTTTTCAGACAATAGAGCGTTTTCTTTCGCAGTGTATTCCGTCAAATAATCTTCAGATGCAGTCATGATGAAGTAGAGATTATGAGTGTTCTCAATGAAATATTTTCTAACTTTTTCTTTCAAAAAGTTTGGATTATCTGAAAGCTCTTTTTTAAACCTTTCAATATTATCATTAATTCTTAACACTCCGATTGGATCTCCATCATGATTCCAAGTTGCTTGAATAGCCATGAGTAAACGTAGTCCAAAATCAGCTGGTTGATGCTTCAAAGAGAGTTCAATCGAATGAAGAAGAGCGTCTATTCTTTCCTGAGGAAAACCTTCTTTTGCTACTTTTTCGAAAGTTTGAAGAATTATCTCTTTCACCTTTTGACAGTCGTTAGCATGAATTCCTTGAAGACCAACTGAAAAAAGAGTTTGCTTGGTAAAATCCCAATAACCAGTACCAGAAGCAAAATCCATTCCTAGGTTAGATCTTATAAGTGATTCATAAAAGGGTGCATTTTGACCGGTAGTTAGGAGATTACCGATAATGGATAGCACAAACGATTCGTAGTTATTATCGATGCCACACAAAAGATAAGATAGACTAGCAGTTGTTTGTTTATCAGGAAAAGGTGCCATTGGATCAGGACGACATTTAGTAACAATTTCTTTTGGGCTTTCCCATGCCTTTTGGTCCAACACTTTAGATATCATTCTAATTTGTGGGTCATGATTTAATTTAGATAAAATCATTTCGTCGATGAGTTTAAGATGATTTTCTAAAGGTAAATCCCCATAAGTGAAAAACCTAGACAAAAAAATGCGTTGAATAAGTTATATTGAACTGGGATGAAATAAAAATTAAAATTACCTGGAATTACTTGGATGATAATATTTCTTATAAAAATTCTTCATTTCTTCATGACTCAGTCGAGGTATGTCCAATGGATTACCTCCGAAGTCATATTGATAAACAACATCAGGGAAAACAGCTTGTAAAATAGACCGATAGTACAAAGTTGAGTTATTTGACTAGAATAAGAATTAATTAAATAAGTTAAGTTAAATACGACAAGCTAAAGTAATGTAAGCATCTATATTATGTAAACTCACATGAACACCTTTCATTTCATTCAAGACAACTCCTTTGAATTTTAAAGGTGATTCCTTGTCTGTTATTTCAGCATGCTCTAGTCTCCAAGCTTCTTGACGAAAATCAATTTCTTTAAGTGTCGGATTAAAGACAAAATCCAAGTAAACTCTCGATAGATTTTCCATGTCCTTTGGATTAGTAGTTGAGAAAGGATAACAAGTGTAATCTGGTCCGGTGAATGCATTCATGTAGGTAGATAACGATCTAGAAGTCATTTTCATAAAAATTTCTCGACATGGATAATTGAGAGATCCCATGGTAGTAAGATGTTCAAGTACATGAGGGACTCCAGTATTATCAGAAGGGGTTGTCCGAAAAGCAATACCAAGTAAGTTGTTGTTATCCTCTCTCCACAAATGAAGATGTTGGGCTTTGGTTTTATCATGGATTAAAAAATAAGCTTTAGCTAGAAGCTCAGGTACATCCTCGATTCTTTCTAAAGTATAACCATGTAGCTTGTGACCAGCTTTGAAAGAGGCCATAGCCCCAGAAGGTCCAGTTGAAATCATAGCGATTCGTTGTTTGATGAGACCTGACAGTGTAAACAATGTATTTTTACAACCGCAAGTTCTTTAAAAATTGATGAGTTGGATTAAAATAGATGAAGAACCAAGAACCAAGTTAAAGAGGAAAAACAAGCGAAGACCGTAATAGAAGACAAAGTATCAGGTATGAACAAACATGAAGAGAAGAGAGGATTTGGTAATCAACCAAACACCAATATTAAATTAATGTGTTGAACATAAAAAAGATTAGAAACAATTTTGCAACAAAAAACCCTCAAACATAATCAGTAGACTAAAATGAACTTCTAAAAAACGATTGACATTTCTTACCTCTGAAATTGTATCAATTTAAACATTATTAAATGAAAGAAAGAAATGCTCAAATATTAAAGTTGGGAGTCAAAATACCGAAACACCATATGGTCACATATAATATAATGATTGTCATTGATAGATGGCAGTAGCTGACGATCAATTTTCTTTCAATCTTTCAATTGTTAATCAATTAAGTTTACATTGTGTTTAAATTTGTTTTTACTCTTTATTTTTGGAACTGGAAAAAATTTAGAACTCGAGAAAACTGAGCTTAAACCATTCTCACAAAAAGAAAAAGTCCCTTTTCTTTGTAATGTTTAAAGCTGAAGGTAATACAACAAAATTCATTGTAACCAGAATCTTGAATTAAAGTGAATCCTAGCTTTTCAACTCCAATCAACCTGAATAATTCAACGTATTCAATTTATTGTATCATGGGGCAAAATGTGCAAATTATTCAGTGTAGTTCAATATCGAACCTCGTCTATAGCATCGACAATCTCGAAAACCAAGGAGACGTCGTAGCATTACAAACTGACGGAATCCAACGAAGTATAATTGTTTTAAATTCACAGCCCTGACAAATATCTCATTGTCATTATTTCCAACACCTGATTACCTTATATTAAAGCATACATTGATTCATTGGAATGTAATACCATGTCATGAATAGATACTGCCAAGGAGGATGCCATATTGGGTAGGGGAAATTGCCTATCGTCAGATCACTTTTGAAATAAATTTTTTTATGTATATTTTTAGGCTGATTTCAAAAATATGAAACATTTTTTAACTGGAGTTGCAACAGAAATTTAAGGATAGAGGAACGCAAAAGATTCATGACTGAGAGTTAAGATTTATTGGCTTAGATTTATTTTTTGTGCAATAATTCTTCATACTTGATTTCAAAAGAATAAAAAACAAAAAATACTGCAAATCAGTCAAAGATAAGAAAAACTGTTCCTGTTGATTTTTGCATTATGCTGTGCATGCTGCAGATACACACAATGATATTCATAATATAGCCATAATTAGAAATGCTGATTTCTTATTTCAAATAAAAAAGATGAAAAAGTTGTGTAAAATCAGTCAAAGAAAATATAAATATAAAATGTGTAAAAAAGTTTTTTTGAAATTTTTCAATATTTCGCATGCATAGAAATTTTCGTTTTTCTATGATAGTATTAAGAAAAACTAGTCTTTCAAACCACTTTTTCTCAAGATTCCAACCTGTCTTTCAAACCATTTTTTCGCAAACTATGCAATGGTCTTTGGAGCCGTTTTTTGGTGAAGATATTATATTATATTGTATTGATAGAATGAGGTTAATGTAATGATTGATAATAATGTGGAAAATTTATTGTAAAGGGTGTTGCGGTTAGTAAGGTTCAAGCAATCACTTACCCAATGTTGATAAAAAGATAAAGATGATGATTATGAAGATAACGATGGCAAAGATGGTTGATGAAGGTGAAAATGATGAAACAAAATAACAACAAAGACATAATTTACAGTAAATGAACGAAATGAGAGCCTCTGGCCTCGATACATTTATCGATTCTCTTTTTGAAATTTTCAATTGTATTGGATAACATTTCGGGGGTAACACATTTAAATTTATCAATAATCAAATTTTTCAATTGAGGCAAAGTGGAAGGGTTAGACATTCTAACAAGGTCATCAATATAACCCCATAGAAAATAATCCAATGGATTCAGGTCAGGGGAACTCGATGGCCACTCAAAGTCACTCCTTCGGCTGATTAAATTTTCACCAAAATATCTCCTCAATAAATTCAATGCATCGTTGGTACAATGGGGCGTTGCCCCGTCTTGTTGATACCAGGTTTGTGGTGTAAGTTGGTCAATTTTGTTGAGCTCAGGAATGAAAAAATCGGAGATACATTCTTGATAGGTAGCTGAGTTGACACTTCGATTGAAAAAATAAGGTCCAATCAAACCATTCCAACTCAATGCTGCCCAAACATGAACCTGTGGTGGATGAGCAATTAACTGGTTAACTTCTGGCTCTTTTGGTTTTTTTGGTAACCACATTCGATGGTTTTGTCGGTTAACTCGTCCAGTTAAGGTGAAAATCTTCTCATCAGAGAACCAGATTTTTGTCCAATCGATTTGATCCAAACGAAGCATTTGCTTCAACCTCACACAAAAACTCATCCTTCCATTGATTTGATTCTGGTTCAGTTTTTGGCCTTCAACTGTTTTGTAAGGATAAAGGTTATTTTTCTTGAAAATTTTGAAGACTGTTGTTGGATGAGCCTGAACCACTGCTGCTGCTTTCCTTAGTGAAATTTTTGGATCAGCTCTGACCATATTCATCACTTCCTCCGTCTTTTTGGATTCTCTTCTTCTCTTCACCTCTTTTCTCTCGACCGTTCCTGTTGTCCTGAACCTTTTGATTAATTTGGTCATTTTTTGCCTTGACATCGATGGATATCCACTTTGGGTTAATTCCAAGTTTACCTTTTCACAGCGAGCTGTATCAGTGTCAAATTGTCGGTAATTTAAAAAAAAACTGATGACCACAAGGGCACGGTAAGAAACTAAATCAGCCATGTTGTTTTGTTATTATTTTGTTTCATCATTTTCACCTTCATCAACCATCTTTGCCATCGTTATCTTCATTATCATCATCTTTATCTTTTTATCAACATTGGGTAAGTGATTGCTTGAACCTTACTAACCGCAACACCCTTTATAAGTATATTAGTAAAAGTGTAGGTTTCAATTGATATGCAAAAAGAAGGGAAGAATTATAAATCAAAGATTAATAGTTTCATCAAAGTAAATTGATGAAACTATTCATTTCCAAAACGTTTTGAAACATTTCGCTCCACTTGGTCTTTTCATCTTTGATTAGGGTTTGGATTGCTTTATGCAGTCGATCACTTGATAGATTAAACTCTTCAATCTCCAATTTGAGCTGCTTGTTTTTCTCACCAAAATTTTTCAAAGTTAAAAGTGCTGAATCAACTGCAGATTTTAGATGTCTGATCTCATTGAAGGTGAAAATGTTTGTTTTGCATGCCTCCCATGCCTAAAACTACACTAATATCTTGCAGCTTAACAAAAAGATGTCTTGGTTTGAGATTGAATCTTTCTTTCCTGAAATGCATGAATGATAAGGGGAGAAAGGGAAAGATGAAATACTGAGAATTAAGAATGTCTGAATGACAAACAACAAGCAAACTTACCTTGGAGCAGAAGTTTTAGCTTTCATAAATTTTAACATGATGATGAGGAGCAAAAACACTGTGGAATAACTGATTGAGTTAGAAGATCAATATGGAGCTAATGTATCTTTAAAATTAGCAAAATTTACCTGTATCTGTCTCTCGGAATTGTATTGCAGTGATTTTTTACAAAGTTAAAGTTAAGTTTAGAGTTGCATTCAAGCATGAAGTGTTTTAACCATATTGCAAGCATAATTTTGTTACTCATCTAGAATCCTTCCATATATGCTATCATTGATGCTTTTAATCATATTTTAGGAAAAATTGCTCCGATTTATAATTATAGCTATTTAGCTAATTTTGTGCAAAAACATCATTTTAAACAATTTTCGGATGATATGAGCAATTCGAAACATGTTTTGTGCATAGATTGCTCACAGTGGTAAATATCGATTATGCATTAGCTAATTTCTTATTCAGCATCGCATTATTGAAGATAAACAGTTTTGGTGGTGAAGATGATTGTAATCAACACAAGATAAGTCATTTTGACCATCACACTAAAGATTTATCCTATTTTACTCAACTCATTTTGATTAGCTTATTAGCAATTTAACCTAAAAGAGAAAAAATTTATGCATGATTTAAGATGAAGATTCAAAAATGGAAGTTAGTACTGTGTTTTACCGTGTGATCATGCTTTTGCTTGTTTACTTGTGCTTTCAATTACAGTAGATGTCCTTTATGTAGAGCAAATATCGAAAGGATTGTACGCATTATTCGATTTTAAATCTAAAATCAAACAAAACCTGAATCAATATTTCTCGCTTTTTTCTTTTCAAACACTGCATTGACATTGTATATTGACTTCACTTTTATATTCACTCAAGAATGGGGTCAAAGACTTATACATTTTCAATCAAAATCTGGCTTGAAAGACGTATTTCAATCTTTAGATAAAGTGGCGACAAAGACGAAAGAATTTTATTACTACTTATGATTTATTGTGAACTTACATATGACTTACAATAAACAATCACAACATACTTTTTGTACACAATAGTATAGAAGCAGCCCACTTTGACCAACTTCTCTAGCTTAGCATATTAAGGAGAAAAAGAAACAGAAAGATAGAAAGAAAAAGAGATATAGAAAGAGACAATGAAGAATAAAAAAGAGAAGGGGGAAGACAATAAAGAGAAATAGAAGAGGAAAGACAATGAAGTGGGCAAGAGATAGCTAATATTTCAAGTATGCAAAGGTTAAAAAGATTCAACTCGTAAATTAAACAAAAGAGAAAATTGATTCCAGCAACCTTTGACAAAAACTTTTCTTACAACTTTTGACCGGATGTTTGATCTGATTTCTGCATTCGGAAGCTGCAAAAGTTAGAAAGTTTAAACGCATTATTTGGCAATAAAATTGTTAGTACACAACATGGACCGAATACTTTTTCAAATTTACGAACAGATATGATCTGATGATTTGACTCTTGATTTTTCGTCATTGACTTAAAACTTTGAAAATCAATATTTCTAGAATAAGGATCAAAGCTCAAAAGGATCATTCTTTGATCAAACATTAGATTTTATTATGGATTATAAAAAATGGAAAATAAAACTATTCAAGATTCTACAAAAAAGTTTCAATTGATAATTTTGGACGCTCAAATAGACAAAAATGTTGACAAGGAAGATTAGGAGGATACAGCCAACAACAGGGGTCGAGGAATGCAAAGATACTGCCATTGTTTTTGCCTTATTCCGCACAATCTCGTATAGCTGGTATAGCCATACATTACATAGCAATTAAAGCTTGGGCTATCACTGCGGCAAGAATCGTAAGTTTTTAAGATTTAAAGCAAGTGATAGTTGGATTGCAAGATCAAAAAGATGCAATGAAATAGATTACAAAGTTTTTTACAAAGACTAATACCGAAAA